CGTCTTCCATCCGTCTTCTATCACTCCCCTATCTTAGGTCTTCCGCTCGGGACTCTCTGCTACCGCCTCCTTATCGCCTATTAAGTGCCTTGCTTCGGTCCAACCAACGTGCTTCAACGGCCCTATCAGTGATAAGCGCACCGACCCAGCTATCCATCATAGAGCGACTCGAGGACATTCGATTTGTGGCAGTCAATCCTCAATTGCATCGTGGTCTTGCTCCTTCTAGGATATCTCTCTTCTTCTTTCCGCTCCTGCCCTTAGGGGCTCTACACAGCAACCGAGCTTAAACAATCAACTTTTACCTAGCGAGCTCATCAAACTAGCCGTAGTTTTGATCGATCGTGTTTCGGATCTGGTATGCGTCTGACCGCCCCACGACAACTGTTCAATACAACGCATTGATGCAGCCAATGCTGACCTACTTATAGTCAAACATTCCTGTCGACGGGTATCACTTACCTGTTTCTACATATTGATATCTGTCATGTCGCAAGATCCTGATTCTCAGCTCTCGCAAGGCTCCCTTGCCCCTCCTGCAGAGATCACCGGCCCCGCAACGCCCATGCAACGTGCAAGTCTGTCTGCATCCCCAGACCTGAGTGTAGGCGCTGGACTGCCAGTATCACATTCCGACCAGAGTAAATCTTTATCACCCTCGTTACCTTCATCTGATATGACGCCGCCACCATCATCGCAAATTCCCGGAGCCCCGCGCCAACGGTCAAGATCTACTTCGAGCTCCTTGCTAGCTTCTCCTCCCGATATGCAAAAGACCCTCTGTGTTGCCTATGGCGCCTCAGAAAACCTTCCCACTGCCGATGATCTCGATACCGCTGATGAATCGAAGCTCCGAGCAATGGCTAAAGACCTGTTGAGTGTTGCCCAAGAGGCTCGCATGTCAGCTCTGCACTTCAAGCTACAAAATAGTCTGCTATCGTTTACTAGTAACGAAGCTATCAAGCGTGCCGAGGTAGAGCATCAGCTCGCTAGAAGAGAGGTCGAGATCATTCAGAGCTCTGAGTATCGCAGCCGTCATTGCCAACCTGAAATCAAAGCAGTGCAGCAGATTTCTAATGTGGAGCTAGAGCTTGCACTTAAGCGCAATCAAGAGCTTGGAAGAGTAAATGCCACACTTGATCGGCGGTTGCGTCGGGCTAAGAAGCTAATTGAGCAAGAGAAGGAGAGGTCAGACCTTCTTGAGGAAGAAAACAAGTTGCTGAAAGAGCGTATCAGAGACAACCGGAAGCATTTCTCTCAGATGATTGAACATGGTCCAATGTCACCCAGCCCCCAGAGAGAAATGCAAGCTTCTCAGAGGAGGCCTGTACCTCACTATGTGGAGCACGATGGCCATCAGATGAACGGTAGCGATAGCCATGACCCGTTTGCGCAACTCCTTGCTGCCGACCGTGTCCTCAATCGAGGATCACCGAGTGTCACATCCACACCACACCGGAACCGTACTTATAAGCAGCATAATGATGGCCAGATGCGTGGAAACCACACACTCGCCTCCGTTCCCGTAACACCGTCTCGTGCTCGGATGGCCTCTGGAGGGAACCAATATAACACACCGGGCAGGGAGTCTCATGATAGCCACCGTGATCGAGACAGCACTATATCGGCGTCCGACATCGAGGAGGCTGAAACGGAGGAAGACGTTCCAGCATCAGAGGCTGGAGCTCTTGCTAGCAGCATGCTTCGTCCCCACGCTTTCAGCAACCGTCGTGAGAGCCGAGGCATCGCGAATGCACCCAAGTCCAGCACACTGTTGCAGACCAAATTGTTTGGCCAAGTGAGGAAATCAGGTGTTGAGCGTCCATCGACTGGTTTTAAACGCAAGGCGAGTTTTGATGGTGCGTCTTCGAAGAAAATGAAAGCGGAGGAGAGGGTGGGTCTCGGCATTGACACCTGGAATAAATAAGCATGACCCGTGCACAACCATGGAGCGTGTGTATCACGTATACCGGGCTTCTAGCTGTCTATCTACTATCTACTTCCTCACCGCCACGACTTCTAGTCGCATATCACTTTTGCGGGTCAAAGCTGGTTATGGCTGGATATGCTTGCTATTCAAAGCGGGTGCTGCTTGGATCTTGACTTTGTTTCTTATGTACTTTTCTTCCCTTCCTGGGGGTCTGTGACGAATGATGAACTGTAAAATCCGATGGGGCACCGGGTGTTTTTTTCTAAGGGTACTACGACTTATTGGCAACTGGTTCTGGGATTTATCACACAGGAGTATCTCTATGGTTTCTCAGTATGTTGATGGCTTCAATACGAATAGTTGGGCAGATTTGGACATAATGTCATCATGAATAAGATATTGTTAACTGATGTATTATCTGCAATCGGTCGAGCGAATAATTCCATATACTGCTTTGGTAGATGGCTCGCAGAGGGACCTCCCGTTAACTTCCAAGTTCGTCGAACCGCCAAGTCACATGGGTCTTACTCAGCGTGTAACGATGTAACAAGCGTGTACGGCAACGAACTTACCTGGAAGTAACTAGTACCAGGGAAGAACAATACAGTACGGGCGGTCGGTCGCAAAGAGTAGAAGCACAGCCTGAGTCGCAACACTCCAGCAGCCAGTGAGCCTACCACCAGGCAATGAGAATAAAAGTTGACGTAGATACACATGTAACATAAGACTCCAATCATTCTAGTCGAGTCTGGATGGCAGTCCCAGATCCCAAGAACCGTTCTGCCACGGAGAAAGTCTGGGGGTGACCTTCCGAAACGGGTAAGCAGGGTAGGGCTCGCTAAGCGAGGCGATGCGGCTCTGCGCGGTTGGCCACACCAAAAAAAGTTCCACCTAATAGTGAGACGAGGAGTTTTGAGATACGACCAGCAACCACCCACGACGACGACGACAATCTCCCGGCCTTGATCCCCATCCGTCACAATGGTGCGTTATTCTATCCAATATTGCTCAAATAGCGTCGCTAGATTGTCAAATTGATGATCGGACGCTATTTTTTCGCAAAGGACTTCATGTGCTGACCTGGGACCTCTTGGTGGATATAGGCGATCAAGCACAACAACCAGATTCTCAACCAGCGTGAGTGAACCTGCTCGAGGAAGGATACGATGGTGGATATTGTTCAATATATCGGGTTTCAACTGGCCGGCTGGAATAATATGGACTGATGGGTTTCGATTTCAGACTTCCACAAGGACTGGCAGCGTCGTGTCCGCGTGCACTTCGACCAGGTACGCTCTCGAAAATAAAATCCTTTTACCCAACCGATTCCTATCTACAACGAGCGACTCGCCTATTTGGAAAAGAATACGGGATGGGAAAATTTTTTCCTATATGCGTGGTGGACTGACATGTATTTTTTGCTTCAATAGCCTGGCCGCAAGCACCGCCGTCGTGAGGCCCGTCTCGCTAAGGCCGCCGCTGTTGCTCCTCGTCCGGTTGACCAGCTGCGCCCCGTTGTGCGCTGCCCTACCGTCAAGTACAACCGCCGTGTCCGTGCTGGCCGTGGTTTCACCCTCGCTGAGCTGAAGGTAAATTCGTCCCTTGTGTGCAAGACAATGTCATCAGAAAGAAGATTCTGGTGATGGCGCTTGGAAATCAGCCCTGGCGACTGGGCAGGACGAATATTTGGACGGAGGCTTACACGATTATTTTTTCTCGCACTATAGGAAGCTGGTATCCCCAAGAAGCTCGCTCGCACCGTCGGTATCGCCGTTGACCACCGCCGTGTCAACTACTCCAAGGAGTCGCTCGTCGCCAATGTTGCTCGCCTCCAGGACTACAAGGCTCGCCTGATCCTCTTCCCCCGCAAGAGCGGTCAGTTCAAGAAGCTTGACTCTTCCGCTGAGGAGGTCAACGCTGCCAAGGCTGCTTTCGCCGAGGGCAAGACCGAGGGCTTCGCCACCCGTGTCGGTGGTGCCCTCCCCATCAAGAACGCCACTCTCGCTGAGGCCGTCACCGAGGTCAAGCGTGACGACCTCCCCAAGGGTGAGGAGGCTGCTTACCGCCGGCTGCGTGAGGCCCGCAGCGAGGCTCGCTACAAGGGTATCCGGGAGAAGCGTGCTAAGGCCAAGGCTGATGAGGAGTCTGCCGCCAAGAAATAGATATCTTGAATCACAGCTAATGATGATCGGGTCAATTTTCAAGTCGGGGATTAGTACCTTGTGTGGCATGGCGTCGCTCCTCTATTTTCCGTTTTCACCTTTGTCCTTAACATAAAAAGCTCCGAAACCCCCTCGAAATGCAAATGTCCCAAATTTTCATGTCTCCCAGAAAAGCTACTAGCTCCCACCCTAACGCGAATGAAGTGAAGACCCCAACCTCCTTTCTATTTGTCGTCTTTATCTTTATGTTCCTTCCGGACGATTTTGCCCATTCGATCTATCTACCGAAGGACGCGGGAACCGAGCCTCAGGCTTCGGGTTCACCTCAAAAATACCCACTTGGAAACGGTAGACTTGAAGCACGCTGAGGCACGGAGCAAGCTAGTGTACAAATGCGATGATATACGGAGTATATTCTATGTGACCACCTCGGTATCTAGTAGATGTTAGTTCGTAGTTTCGGCATGAATTTTAACTGTATGTGGATAACTGTCATGCAGCCTAGCTTGTCTGATAAGATCCTTGCATATAATCTTATGGTCATACATTTTTAATGGACTTACTATCGTGTTTTATACTATCAGCCAGCTGCCACAACCTAGATCTCACACACTTCCTCTGCAAGCCACCCAGGTAGATACAAAATTAGTGCCATCCAATACAAGATCCATATCCAATGAATTCACCGGGCATGAGATGCCAGGTCAGGAGCGTATAAATTACATGAAAAGAAGGTAAACCCGAAGGATTCGATAAATTGACAAAGACCGCCGAGCAAATTCGCCGCCGACGCCGACGTCGACAACCCCCTATCGCTTCCCATCCCATCCAAAATGAGGAAAACGCCGTTGACATCCGTCTATTCCAATTAATCTAGCACTTGATTATATCATAAATGATCCGGGTATTCATTTCTTAGAGTTAGTACTGAGCAAAGCGCGCAAGACGCAGTCTGTAGCTCTTAGAATTGTGCTAGCAGAGACTCCGCTGCCGCTGCTTCCAGCTTGGTTGTTCTCGTTCGGATTCAAGATGGATTGGAACAGGCGTTTGGATTCCTGATCCACCTTGCGCCTGGAGCCGCTGTCGGACTCGGATAATAGAGAAACGCTAAGTCCCGGTGCTAGTTGTGGCTCACTTGTCCACTCGTCCAGTGTTAATTGGCATGACACAAGAACTTTCAGTGAGCCGCTCTTGGATTCGAAGAGCATAGACGTGCGCTCGAGGTGCGGGAGAATTTGACGCAGTTCTGACATGCCAAGGGGTTGCGAGCTTGCGCTCTTCGATTTAGTCACATGGTCCCGTTTCGCATGTCCACTGATTAATTCTGCATGTTGCTCCTCCATGTGTAACCATAACTCAGCACGCGATACCATGGCCTCCCAGTATCGGTTAATGCCCCAGCACAGACCTGTAACATCTAGTTTAAGCAAGGGATTGGCAAGCCTGGTGTCGATCCAACGCCGTAGATCCTCTGGGGTCCTTGTATCTTCTCCATTCGCCTGTGAAGCAAATGATATGGAGACCAAGCTTTGTGTTTCTGGGTTGACGTCGCAGGTTACAGATACTTTGTAACGGTTGGAAGGGAAGGGAGGCGGGGCGGAAAACTGGAGAGTATGTCTCTCTAAGACAAGATCAGGGGTGGAATTAGGTATGGTTTCAGAGTAGGCCGTAAGCTGTAACGGCGCAAGGGCTGTTAGATATGCTTTTGTTTGCGCCTGCTCTCCAAGCGCAAATGGGTTCACTGGAGGGGCCTCGGGTGGGGGTTTCGGGGGTCCCTTGGTGGCAAAAGGGAGCAACGAAGATATGAGAGACGATATGGAGGATTCGCCTGAGGCCGTTGGGGTCGATTGAGGAGGATTCGTTGCTGCTAACAAAGTACTGTTGGCCAGTCAGTGGCAAGTCATTGACGGCGCGACAAGCGTGTGCAACTTACATTAACCCGGTCAAATCTCGCTCATCACCGGCTTCATCTTGCGCCAGGTCTTTCGACCACGTCTCCAATTCCGAGATTTCGTTCCTCAATTGCTGTAGTTCAGAAGCGAGTTTGTTCTTCAATTTGCGCTTCGTCAAAATCTCCTCCGGTAGATAAGTCCGATCCAACAAGAGGCCTGAATCCGCGGATTCTCCTGCCTCGCCATAGTCGACTTTCCTCAGCTTTGACGGGCTTTGTTCTCGACCATCTGTATTCCTTCTTTTTCCCCACTTTCCCTGTTGCGAGCTCGGGCTACTGCTTAGAAGTCCTTTTGGCCGCCCTGGAGGCCGTTCCAGGCCCAACTGGGTCGGCGTCGGTGGCAGGTCTGGCTCGTCTAGGATGTCCTGGAATGACGGTTGTGGTAAGGCCTCATTCGCATCTATATCACCGGTCGCGCTGTCCAGTTCCGACGCCAATTGGTTTTCCGGGGTATCGGTAGGTGGTGGTAATTTTTCTGTACTCTGTTGGGATGCAGATGGAGACCGGAACACGAGATCGGAGGCAGTAATTCTTGTTGAGACTCGCCTTGGAGGCGCCGCAAAGGCAGCCAGACCGCTAGAGCGACGGCCAGAAAGGGATGACGCAGGCGACTGTTTGCTACCCTTGAGGGAGCCCAGAGGGCTGGCAGTCGAGGTCAAGGACGGTCTCAGGGCCTTGCGGTCTCGTAGACCGAGCGCTCTCGTTCGGGCTTGATTCGGTTTCTGCATGGTTTTCGCCGGGGACTTATTATTCTCAGTCTCGAGAAGGGTGGGATGCGATCTGGCTAAGCTCGCTCTAGTGGGAGCTTGGTAGGACATTCGTTGACTGGTGCGCTGCTGGGGGTCATCCTAAGAAGGCGCGGGGTCGTTCATTTGCGACGCGCTGACGGGGAACGCGGTCGGGGTCGCTTGTGTAGCGGCTCGTGAAGAGATGAAGACAAAACACCTAATCAGCCGTCCATGCGAATTCAATAAAAGACAACCTCCGCAGAGGGGATAGAGCAGCGTCTGTGGGAAGCGCTATCTCCAAACATCAACAACATCACTGCTTTGCCGGTTTGCACTGTTTGCAGCCTCGGGATTATGACATAACCGCCGCTTTCTCATCTTCTGCCATCTCTTTCCGATCTTCCTCTTCTTCTTGTCGCAACTCCAACTTCACCATGGACGCTCCTTGTCTGGCGTTTCGTTCGCCCCTCCTCAGACGTTGTCATGTCTATCTTTCCGGTTCGCGCATACCCGATGCATCTCGCTTGACCCGACCACGTGCCGTCACCCCATTCATTCGGCGCTCCAGCACCCGCAGATATGCCACCGTCCAAGACACACAGGCGGGCAGTTTGAATGACTCCAAATCCCGTCAAGCGCATCCGCTATCGGGCTATTACTACGATATTTTGTCCACTCGCTCACCCTACCGACAGCACGCGACAACCGATACCAAGACTGAAGAGCCCAAGCCAGAGGCGCAAACACCACAGGAAAAGATGGCCATTGTCTTCGGCACTCGGTTAGCTGGTCCCGGCCGGTCCTCACGCTACGATCCGGGCTCCGCACCGGACAAGACCTGGAAAACCATAAACGGGGTGGCCATCCCTCCTCGACCGGAGGAGCCCGACAATTGCTGCATGAGTGGCTGTGTCCACTGCGTATGGGACGATTTCCGAGACGAGCTGGAGGACTGGGCCTTCAGGCTTGAACAAGCCAAGGCGAAGGGTGCGACCAAAAGTGATGCCTCGGATATGCGGCATACCCCACGAGCGGAAGTCCGCTCAGCTAGCATGAGCATGGATGACGATGGTGGTGGCAGTGAGACCAATTGGTCGGCGCCTACTTCGGACGATGACTTGTTCGCGAGTATCCCTGTGGGGATTCGAGAGTTCATGAAGACGGAGAAGAAACTGAAGCAACGGCATCAGCAGGAATCGGCGTGAAATGATGCCCGGTCCATTTCTTTCTGCTTAGTGGCATTTTTCTCTTCTCTACTACGAATACCCTTGTGTGACGATTGATGTGGATTAGCTTGGTGTTTGGACTAGATTTGTACATAGACTATACTCCTGCTGTTTAGATGTAGAGAATGTATATATTGCTCCGCCATGGTGGTGCTTAGATTATATATGCAGGTGACAAGGAAGCATAATGATCCTAAAGCGAGTAGACATTCACATGGAACTGTAGTCGTCCAATTGACGAAATCTAACCATCATATACTACTTACCTACCAGATAGAATTATTCTCTCGATATGACCAAGATCACAACCCATATACTACCTCTAATACCTATCCCCTCCCAAAAAAGCAATCCCGCACTCCACCGCCCAGAAATTCTGCCACCAAATCCCGCCCTGCTATCGCAAAAAGTTCCATCCATATCGAGCAATCAAACCACCGAAAACCCCAATAACAAAAATATACAAAAGCAGACACAATGTCGACATCAAAATCAGAAACAGACATAATACTCAATAAGGCCAACGTAGCGCTAGCTCGAAGCCAGCGTCTCGTTGCCTCATGGCTACCTGCACCGACGACAGACGATCAAGCGAACAGCAAGAAAACCGAAGAGGAATTACAGCGAGAAGAGGATGAGATTTTCACGGCGGTTCCGGAGACGTATGTTACTCTTTCGTTTTCTTTCTATCTATCTATGCTTTCTTCATTTTCTCTGGAGTATCTTCCGGGGGTAGAGGAGGGTTTCGAAGAGAAATTGCAACAATTAATAGAAATATCATAACTAACAATGGACCCAATGTATAGATTAGGAGTCGGTGCACCACTCCCTACTAAAGCCGTGGATGGAAGTTGGAATCGGACCGAATTGGATTCGAATGACAAATTACGGAAACAGCTCTTAGGAAGGAATTACCAGAAGGTTATGGCTGCGAAGAAGGCTTCGACTGCGAAGGGAGGCAGTAACGATGCTGCTGCTGCGTCAACAAATCCCACTAAGAATGGGGTGGCGAAAACGGAAGAAGAGGATGATGATGACGAGGAAGAGGGACGGACGGCGGCGATAGGGAAGAAGAAAGCTATGTCAGCGAAAAAGCGCAAGGCGTCTGAACCACAAGCTCAGACGGAATCCGAGACGGTTGGAGGTGAATCTGGAGAATTAAAGCAGACGAGTGATGTCGGTGATGGCACTGAAGGCAAAGCCGATCAGTTGGACAAGCAACCGGGAGCTTCATCACGGCCCGCTAGGGGGAGAAAGAAGGGAACGAGCTTCTTGGATGAGATCTTGGCTGAGCGGTCGAAGAAGAGAAAGAAGAGGTAAACAAGGATATTTGTGACACCCTCTCACCTCACCTTAACGGAGCCCAGTCTACGATATAATCAGATGTATAACCTCAAGGAAATGAATATACCCATTTAGTTCACTGTGTACAGTTATTTGTGAATACGTCAAGAATTGTTCATCAGATCCAAAAAAAAAAGACTCATTGATTGTGCGCCTGCAGCCGGATATCACTATGTCCTCTGCAAATCTAGATTACTATACCCACACAATATCGTGCACCACCACCCCAAACCCAGGGTATATAATATAACAACAGGAAGGCGGAGCAGCCCGAGAACGGTTCTCTGTGCAAGGGCTTTCCACCATCAGAAAGCAATGCTGTCCAAGAAATATAAAAGAAGAAAACAGATTAGTGCCGTCCAAACCATGCCCGGTAAGCACGGGTTCCACATGCTGGAATCCATGTATGTTGTGTCAATTGTACAGTAGATGTTCCCACCCAGAAAGAAGATAAACACAGAAAGTACAGATGGGCAATACTCCACAAGATGCAGTACCAGTCCAGAAATGAAGGCTGAGAGTGAGTTTCTCCTGGTGATATGCTTTTCCTTTACCCCTTTCCAAATATAAAAAAACGTGCGCCCCGAAGAACAAGAAGTCTATAGCTCCGATTCCGGTAGGGTCCCGAATATCAGCGCCAAGCAATGCTCCTGCGAGAATCCCCGGATCAAGGATATGAATGAAGCAAGTAATAATGATGAAGTTGAGTTTATTCCAATCGCTTCCGTTTCCGATCGTCGGCCATAGCATGCTGGTCTTCGTCCGGCCGTTCAGCGGTATCAGCCGGGTTCAGAAGCGAATGAACATTGCTGGCCATGCTGGAACGTCGAGTTGCTGGCAAGGACGATTCGTGTCGAGGGAATCTAGGTCCTAAAGACCAGCCGTTATCGGTTGGGGGATTCTGATCGGGGTGCAAAGGGGGAGTTGGGTGTCGATGTTCCTGCAGACGCCGCGGTGCACCCATTTCATACTGGGCTAACACATCTCGGACCGATTGCTCACTTGACGTCGGAGTCCGGTGTCGAGAGGGAGACCAGGGGTTCGTTGGCTGCGGGGGGTGTGCGGAAGGGAATGGAGACACTCCCGGTGGCGGCCAACCATGCTGTCTGATGTCCGCCGAAGTGTGTCGGCGCGCAAGATTAGGCCCAGGCGGAGAGGATACGGACGAAAGAGGATGAGGCATGGGTTGCTGCGGAGTGACGACCGCTGGCACTTGCGGACGGTTGTAGCTGGGGGAAGAATTTCCAGCGCCAATTGACCCGTACCGCCGCGGAGAGACGGCCAGATGAGGGGGGACTGGGGGCCGAATCATACCGGCCCTCGAGGGGTCCAGCATCGATGGGCGGCGACTCTCTTCCGGGGGCATTTGGCGCGGCGACAGCGGCGGACCTGCATCGCCAGAAATGCCGGTGACGTAGGGTTGTCGGACAGCCAAATATGGGTCCGGAGGATGCTCCAGGGCCCGCACAGCCTCAAGGTGCTTCTCCAATTCCGCCTGCATGGAGGCCACTACACCAGACTCGTTAGTCAATCCTGCAGTTGGGGCTATCAATGGTGGATGGGCCTACCGTCTCGATACAGAAGGCTCTCGCGATCGGGGATCATGCCTTGGAGGAAACGTGAAATTGAGTGAGTCCACTGGACGACGAGAAGAATCAGCAAACCAGAACCACTAGATGTTGCGATCGCTTTGGAGGCCCGTCAACTTACGTGATAACACCTAGTTAAGCTCTCGGCCATGGATTGACATCTTGCATTAAGGGTCGCATTTCCTTCTTCGGCGTTCCTTAGACGAGCATGCAAGTCATACATGGAGTGTTCCAGGTTCATCAAACGGGACTCGGTGACATCGGGAACTGGCTCAGCGGGGGTGCCGGGCTGGGAGGCGGCGGCCTTGTGACCAGGAAATGAGTCGCGATGGATCAATGCATGACGGGATGCGCGCCGCTTGATCTCTCGCAAACCCACAAGATCTCCGCGCTTAAAGTTGCCATTCCCATGTTTAAACTCCCACAGAGCGGAGTCTGGCGAACCGGTGTGGAATACATCGCTCACTGGGATCCATGTGTATCAATAACGGTCGGGGCAATGCTATTTGCTGTCTCAGCCCGCATACCTTTATGAAATCCGTACATATTCAGCTGCCTGACGAAGGACGAAATGTTGGTGTGCTTGAAGTATTGTCTGAGCTGTTCGTTAGCAGCTAGTTCCCACAGAGCGCGATAGGCTACGATAGGGGAAGACTAACGCCAGGACTTTGGAGAATTCGGAAGTCGGGGACATGACGAAGCTGTCATTCGTACTCGACCACGAGATGAGGTGCTGAATACTGGGATCCTCTAGCATACTATACAGTGTTGTTAGCTCGAGCCCGTAACCGTGAAGGGTAAGGGGAACGGGGGAGGTATTCGAAAGGAAGCAACAAAACGGAAGAATGAACGACAAAAATGGCCTCCGACGTACTTGTAGAGCTTGTGAATAAAGGCCGTCTGAACGACCTTTGGCTGCTGAGCAGCAGCAGCCGCACCGATGGCTTGAGTGGGAGCGGCATGGTGGTTCACATTGGAAGGTTCAGTAGAACCATTGGTGGCGGTGGTGTTGCTTGCGCCCGCCCGGTCGCTATCGGGACTGCTATGGATGGGGGGCGCAGCGCCCGAGGCAGGAGGAGTAACCTCCATGGGGTCACCGGTGGACTGGCTGGAGGGAGGAACGGAGGAGGCAAGGACAGGAATCTTGCGGGTTTTGCCGGGCGCATCGATAGCAGTGAGGATAAGCGGACTTCTGGACGGGGGATCGGCGAGACCGCTCATCTCGCGCGGCGGAACAGGGGGGAGGGGGGAGGGAGGAGGAGAAGCAGGAAGAGGAGGGAGGGAGGGAGGGGGGGGAAAGAGAGGAAGAGAAGAGGAGGGAAAAGAAAAGGAATGAGAACGGGGCGGCCGAGGAGGGAGCCGCAGCAGACGGAGAGAAAGAGAGAAGAGAGAGAAAAGAGAGCGAGGCAGAGAGAAGAGAGTAGACGACGGGATTCGCGTAAAGTGAAAAAGTACTTAATTCCTTTTCTGCCCTTTACTTTTTTGAGCCTTAGAAAAGAAGTAGGCCAAGACAGAGTTTCTTCAGGAATTAAGTAAATTAATGAAGGGGAATAATGCAATCAACTAAAAATAACAATCGAAGAAAATAATTATATTAAAGATGGGGAAATTTGTTGAATAATAGGAAGTAGAGGGGAAGAAAATCGATTGAATGATAATAGGTATAAGAATAGATAGATAGATAGATTGATTGATTTGGGGGGGGGAAAGCCTGCCAGGTTCTTTTCTCTTTCCCGCAAGAAGAGTAACCAGCAGCAATCCCCAAAGAGTAAGTAGTCAGTAGTAGGTTTAGGAGTACTTGGTAGTACTTAAGTTGTGGATGGGTTGGAAGATAAGAATGGGGAATGGATTGGGAGAAGAAGATGAAGAAGAATTGGTGGAGAGAAGCTTGGAAGGAAAACAAGAAGAAAAGAATGAAGAATTAAATGAACAGTTTGGGTCCAGTTCTAGTTCAGTCAACTTAGTACTTAGTACTTAGTACTGGTAGTGGTAGTGGTAGTAGTAAAATTGCAGGATGGAGATGGAATGGTTGTTCTAGTACAGATGATGAACCAAGAAGAGTCTGGGCCAGACTGGAAGTTGAGGATCATCGCCAGTCAAAAAAAAAGTGTCTCCGCTTCCCGAAGCATCGCCGTGCTCTTCATTGGTCCATCCATTCCCAAAAAACTAACTTGTTCCCTTCCTTCCATCCTTCCTGTTGCTTTTGGCTTTTTCGCCTTCCGATCGCCTGCTGGGGCTGCGCCGTAGATCGATGACCCAGCGTTTCCTGTTTTTCCCCTCGTCACTTTCCGATCGACGTAAGCCCTTCCCAAAGTCTGGGAGAGGAAGTAGAAAGAAGGAGGAGGGGAAGAAGAGGGAGAGGGAACGAAACTAAAAAAAATAAGGTCGTGCTTTGCATAGTATTTATTGGTGGATGGATCAAGAATGCAAGTCAGTGCTACGGAGTACTTTAGTACTCAGTAAAAAAGTTGTCGGTGCTCCTAGATAGGCACTTGGCCAAATTCTCGAAATAATAAATAATGCGAGAAACCGAAGAGATCCAAAAAATGACCAAACAGAAACTCTTCCTTCTTCACAATGTGTACTGTAGTAAAAAAATAAAAAGTAGTAGTGATAAAAGATGAGAAGAGTGCCTGCCTGCGTGCCTGCCTTGTCTGAGCAGCTCTAGACCCTGCAGGACGGCTCGCCTTAACTACTTACTCTACTCCCTACTAACTAGTTAACTATCGGACTTCCCTTTCCTCTACTAGTACCATCCACCCACCAGACCCAGACTGTCTAAACCATCCAAACTACTATCCATCTATCAACCATCTATCAACCTCTCCGTAGTTGAGACTCTGAGACCTCGTCTTAGAATAGCGTCGACTGGCCGTCAGCCATGGCCGCCGATGCCGCTTCTATACAGCAAATCATCACCCTCTTCACTCATCTGAATACGAGCTCAGCTCGACAGGATGCGTATGACTGTCCATCCATCCGTCATCGATGATCTTCCTTTCCCCTCTTTCCCCCTTCAAAAACCTCCATCTTAGCTTAAGCTCATGCAGCCCTTCCCGACAGGTATCATCGCATTCTAGACCTATTGAACCCCCATGAATGGCGCGATGTACAAAAGCGTACCAATCAGCGCTCCTTTCAAATGGATCTTCTAGCGGATTCCCCCCCAGAAATCGCAGTTCAAATCGCTCAGTATCTCGACCTTTCTGACCTCCATATCCTTCATAGAGTATGTTGCCATCCCCCCCGTGGCCTTGGAAAGGTGACCAGCCACCCCTATGACCCCCGAGACTGAGTTCAAGCCACATTCCACCAGGTCTCTAGAAAGTGGCACCAGCTACTCTCGTCAGAATTGATCCAGGGTGCTGTATACCAGCAATACACAGGGCATGTGCTCGCAGCAGAACATGTCCCAGCTGACCACTTCACCCAATATGCCAAGTATAGAATCCGGCTGGAGCGTGGTCTACCCATCTGCAATCTTCAGGCCTCCAACCTCTTTCCGACAGATGGCTCAAAGCTTGAATGCCTGGATTACGCCAATGGAAGGTGTGCTTGGCTAGACAACGGCACCCATGTCGTCGTGCACGGTCTCTGCAAGCGCTCCACCCAGCGTTTCTGCACGGAGAATCGAGATTCTTTCTGGGATTTGCGTCTCTCCGATTCCATGGTGGTCGCAGTCAGCGCGCGTGCGTAAGTACACATAAGATACACCATATCTTGTGGTGGTTTCGCCGAGAAAGGAACACTTTAGACACCCAGCTCATCCCGAGTCTAGATACTGCCACGCCTGGAACCTCGAGACGGAAGAACACGCCTCGTTCCGCATCCCCGCTTTCAGCTTTCGGATCTTCATTGTTAGTGGTCTCAAGGTTGCTCTGAGTATCAATTATTGTTCTCCAGCTGGTGACGAGGAGAGCAAGATCTATTACTGGGACATGGGCTCGCGAGCCGCTCGTACCATCGATGTAACTTCCCACCTGGCATTGATAGGCCTGCAGCCCAGCACCAACAGCGTGACTACTCTCGTCCTCGAAAAAGGAGATGATCCCATGAACGCTCGCCATTCGCCTTGGGACAGACTACGTGTCGTAAAACACACCTTTGATGACCACGGACGCATCACCAGTCCACTTCCCCCCTATACACTACACTTACCGTCCCCTATTCAACCTGACTGGAGCATTGCCGATGTATCAAACAGTTCTGCTAGCAACTTAGCTGTCTTTATCTGCAAACCGCCGTCTCAACTCAGTACGCCGTCGTCGACAACGACAGCGTCCAACCTGCACCATGTCCTCGTAGTTTCATACGACCCGCAGCGGGACAAAATCCACATGCACACATTGCTCCAGGAAGAATGCACACCTTACTTCCCCTTTTGCATGACCGTGCTGGACGGCGATCTTCTCTACTATGTGAAGAGCGATAGGGGGAAACCGGCTATCTGGATCTTCAACCCAGCGTCCCGAATCCCTCATCGCCCGGCCAAATCTATGAGTCTCGGGCTGCCCCGAGAAGCCTCGGACGGCATTTACTCGAACCTCTTCACTCTCCGCGGCGATAGGGAATTCATTCTCCTGCTCCACGAGATTGATGTGAAAGTGTGGCGGTTCAAGGACGTACATCCTCCAGAGTCTACCGATCTGGCGCTTCTAGCAGCGTGAGGGGTATCATCACCCAACGACACCAAAGGGGGCACAGAAAAAGGGAAAATACATTTGACATAAGAAATGAACCTAGAAATGGACGATATACAGGACCATCAAATGCTCTCTATAAAGATACCCCTCGTGCTCTCTCTCTGCCTGAATCCGTCTCATTTCACCATTATAGCAACTCGTTTGTGACAACCCCTATGACCGATCTTATTCTAGGCAGCAGGAGTGCGTTAGCATCGTCGACGAAGCCCATGGTCACCAACCGTCGGCCTATTGCTCCGCATCTCGCTGCACCATCGAACACGCATGAACCTTCTGAATCCCCGGCCATCGGAGTGGGGGAAACCAAGAGGGAAGTAAGGAAAATAAAAGGAAAAATAAAAAGAGTACAAGAGACAGTGGAGCAGTAGACAAGGTGACACATCTATAAATCCAAACCCGACTCGGAGATTAGATACCAAGGGTGAACTCAACGCCAACGTCGATCTCGCGGGCCATCTTGACGACCTTGGAGAACTGGACAGACTTCTCAGCAGCGCTCTGGAGATCCTCAATGGAGAAGATCTTGAGACCAGACTCGTTGATCTGCAAATCACGTCAGTTAGCTTGTGTTTTCGTTACGCTGATCCCCCGATTGATGGTAAGAACATACCAGCTTGTGAGCCTGCTCCATGTTGGTACCCTGAAGACGGGCAACGATGGGGGTGCGCAGACCCATCTCCTGCACGACGTTGATCAAACCCTGGGCAATAGCGTCGCAGCGGACGATACCACCGAAGATGTTGACGAAGATGGCAGTCACCTTGGGGTCGCTGGTGATGAGCTCGAAAGCGGACTTGATGGCGGCGGGAGTGGCACCACCACCGACATCGAGGAAGTTGGCGGGGGCACCGCCGTTGAGCTTGATGATATCCATGGTGGCCATGGCAAGACCAGCACCGTTAACTATGGCGGACCATTAGCATAATTCTTATCAGTCGATTTTGAGGGACCCATACCCAGGCATCCAATGTCACCGTCAAGCTTGATGAAGTTCAGACCGTGCCTATGCCGTAGATTAGAATGCTTTCGAACGTTGTGATCGTAAGAGCCAGGAAGATCTTACTCGGCAGCCTTGACCTCATCGGCGTCTTCCTGGGTGGTGTCTCTCCAGGAGAAGACCTCCTTCTGGCGGAATTCGGCGTTTTCATCGAAGCCAAGCTTGGCATCCATGGCCATGACCTTGTGGTCGGAGGTCTCAGACAGAGGGTTGATCTCGATCTGGGTAGCATCCTTCTCGATGAAGACCTTGTAGAGCTTCTGGATGGTGTCCTTGGCCTCCTCGACGCACTGCTCGGAGAAGCCGAGCTCGGTGGCGATCTTGTGAGCAATGGCATCGGTCACACCGACCTTGATGTCAATAGGAGTGGTGATGATGGCCTCGGGGTTCTCCTTGGCGACGGCCTCAATGTCCATACCACCCTGCGACGAGGCGACAATGACGGGGCTCTGAGAGGCGCGGTCCATGAGGACAGCAAGGTAGAACTCGCGGCGAGCGAACTTGCGCTCACAGATGTAGACAGAGTTGCAAAGACGACCAGCAGCGCCAGTCTGCTTCGTGATGAGCTTCTGTCCGATCATCTGGCTAGCGAACATCTTGGCCTCGGTAGGCCTAAAATTTTATGAATATCAGCGCAAGGGAAGACTCGGAATAACGCGGGTCACACTCACGAGTAGATCACGCGCACACCACCCTTAAGGCCATTGTCGAAAGTACCCTTACCACGACCACCAGCAAGGACCTGGGCCTTGATGACCATGTCGTCATTACCTATAACGTCCCCGTCTTAGTAGCCGTCGCGACTGTTGGGTTGGAGCATGGCGGATCACAAAAACGTACCGAGGGACTTGGCAACGGCCTCAGCCTCCTCCGCGGAGCGGGCGACTTCACCCTTGGGCATGCCGACGCCATACTGTAGTATCGTATTAGTGATAATTGCAAGGCGAAATTTTACAGCAGAATTTTGGGTGCCCGACGCACCGACTTGAGCAGGTTCGCAGACAGGTATTCGTGGATCGACAGGTTTCTCTTTTGCTGAGCAACACGGGACTGGACGGAAGATTCCTGCCAACAACGGAGATGTTAGCACGCCGATCTGCCTTTAGAAGATTTGGTAGAAGGTAAGGGCAAAAGGGCCCAGGGATGCTTACCGTCGCAGCCCTCAAAGCTGTCGTAACCGGTTTGCTGCGGGCAAGCTTGAACATGGTGACTGAGGTATTTAGAAGAAAGGAGAGGAGAGGGATCAAAAAAGTCTTGTCGGGGAGAGAAGGGTGACAAGAACAAGAGTATCCTCCGACGTGAGGTTATGCGGGAGAAGATGGGGGAAGTATTTGGGGTGTTGATGGGAGAACAGCTTTCTTTTTCGCGGCTGCGCTTCTCGGGATGATAATTGCCTTGGGAGTAGCCATCGGCAGTCACCTGACGGGCCAACCAGCGTGCGCCTCGGGATGATTAAGCAGCACAGTTTCCGACGCGAATATCACGGAACGGAGCCATCCTCTCGCCTGGTCTCTATCGAATCTGAAGCTCGTCGATGGCCTGTTTGGGACGGTCAGCATGGATCCGAACCCGTTAGGCAACATCAGTGAGAAATGTCTTGTGCAGAGGAAAGCATGATATCTCGGCTTCGTTTGTGAAGTTACTATGCCTCCCGGGCAGCTTAGTTCTTCTACTGGCACCTCGCCCCGAACCCGAACCCTGAATCCGCCGGCTTGTCCTCCTAGCCCGGGGGCATACGGCAAATGGTTTAAACGGTCTTACGGCGTCGGCATGCACCTTCTATTTCCCTGCAATGTCGAAAGACCAGTCTTACTGATGTCAAGCAAACGGTTCAAGCAGAGAAGATGACATCCCAACCAGAAAACGCCGTGTTTTGAAATGCTAATACTACACTTGGACCGAATGACCCGAAGGATCGACGAGAACCCCATCCAGCAGAACAGATACATCCGTCCTTACACCGTCCCCTCTTCCTTCATTTCCCAGCAGCTCTTCTAAGTCTGTTGAGTTTGAACATCTTCGTCACAATCTTCCCAGACAGGCCGTTCCAGGCCCATCCTCCCATAAGCAGCCAGATCAACCAGCTTTTGTTACCTTCCCAGATCCAGTTCTTCCGACCTTGCGCCCAGGGCCAAATCCAGCGCCACGGTGCAGACCCATACAGGACCTGTGTGACCACGCTGCGAGCGTATGCTTCGTTTGGCATGGCCCCAGCCTGGCTATGTACCACCCGTCGGTTATATTCGTCCTCGATTGGTGCATAGATTGAACCGGGAACCAGAGTACGCTTGACACGGGCGATGCGAGATTGCACACCCCCGGTAACGACGGTGGTGACGTGCACACTTGATATTTCCGTATCAATAAATGTGTTGCAGGACGGAGGGGGGTATTGAAGTAACATACCCGAACGGAGCTAGTTCCACGCGCAAGGCATCGCTAAACGAGTGCACGGCAGCCTTTGAGGCGTTGTATACGGACCCGAAAACGTAGGGAACAACCTGGACCAGTATCAGCACAAGTAGCTTCCCAAAGCTTATCTCCGAGCACACCCACCCCAGCAACAGAACCAATCTGTACAATAGTTCCCTTAGCCTTCATAAGTAGCGGTAGGAAGGTCTGGCAAATGTGTACAACCGCGACAAAGTTCGTTTCGAACGTGTCACGGATTTCGGAGAGCTCTGCCTCCATAGCTGGCACAGTATAATCTATCATGCATAAGAAAGGGTTTCCATGAAGCCATAAGAATAATCAGACGTACTCCGGCCACTGGCGACTATATCAGCTCATCAAGTGTCACCGGATGAAAGGTGACAACTTACGCGTTATTGACAAGATAATCCAGTCCTTTCTCCCCAAGCTTTTCTTTCACTTCTTCAAAGCATCGTCGGACGCTTTCCTCATCGTCCACGGTAAGACTCAAGGTCTCGACCCCAATAGACGATAGATCTTCGATTGTCTTTGCATCACGGGCAGTAGCGAACACACGCAGACCATTCCGATGAAACTCACGGGCCATAGAGTTCCCAATACCGCCAGGAGAGCATCTACGTGATTAGGCGGCATAAGTAACATGTCAACGGAATGACGATCATGTGCAACACCTACCCTGTAATCAGCACAGACTTCCGTCCGTCTTCGGTTCCTCTCATTGTGCTTTAAAGCGGGGCCGATGGAGAATGACTGTCGAAGGTGCGGGATCTGATGTATCTTAATGATCTGTCACAAAATTCAGGCTAAAGTTGGAAAGTCCTTCTCCGAGGCTTCCTGCTATCTATGTACCTACCCTGCCGATCACACTAGTTCAGATGCAGAACCTCGGTAAGATTACCACATGTAAAAAGGAATATATACCTTACTCCCGACACATGCTGCCAGCTGCTCAACCTCCCGGCGGCATTTTATTCTGATTAGCATCCTGTATATTTAGCCGTCACTTTATTATTGAAAACCTACAGAGAAGATGCTGCAGCTTTCCGTTTATGCATGAACGTAGATTTCAAACTGATTACCCGAACTTGACACGACACTTACTGTATACTACCTAGATAGTCAGAGTTTCTCATAACTCTTATGGAATTCTTAACAGCACAGGGGTATCATTATGGTCATGTGTATTCTATAATGATTGTATCCCAGAAGCGTTGCTGTTGTAGATGTTGATCCGGAAATAAAATGTTCCGGCAGGCTTCTGAGTAGGGAAATAATGTACTCGCGAAGATGTACTGGGCACTATACTTAGAAGAGGATTTATGATATCCTAGAATAATACGACAAGACTAGATCTGGATCTGAAAGCCAGCCTCGCGCAGGGATAACCACGTAGTAAGTGGCATATGCAAGATGAGGTGTACCTGCAGGCTTGAGTTTATAATAACTATCCATCCTATCCCATGCTAGGGATACAGATAGCTAGCCCTCTGACATCCATCTAAAGATGGGTCATAAATGGGTCGGTCGTCTTTACTTCATGTGTCTCGAATGCTCTCAGCTTAGCTATTATGCTGATCATAAGGTAGGATGTGCATCCCTTGGGCAGTATCGACGGAAAGGGTAAGAATTATCTAGCTGTGCTTTCGCCAATTTGTTCAGGGTTGGCTAACGGGGAAATAACTCAATAGTATGATGGCAATAATAATCGATTGAGAAAATTGTGAGCTAGCTACTGCGCAGTCACTAAATGGATCATAGACTTCATTGGAGAGGTCTTGAGGAGTCTGTAGTACTCTTGCAACGCAACGCAACGAATCACAATACTTTTTTATTGCCGCAGGATTGAAGAATACGAGAGTACTAGTAAGTATTTGTCAGTACCATGCAGGCAATAATTGGGTGACAAAGACTAGATGTTCTGATCTAGTGGTACATAGTTGGTACCAAGCTTTCGGGCTACTAACAGTATATAGATAGGCGACGTATGCTTCCCGCTTCCCGCTTCCCCGCTACGAAAATGGAGGCGTGCCGATATCCGAGAGGCAACAGATTGATTCATTATTGCCTGCCCAATGTGTCGTCCTCGGACTTACGGCAGTGATGCTGTCCTCCACAGTTTGAAGACCAAGAACCAGAAGGCTGCTCTAGACAATTATCTGCACGCATCTGCCCAGAATCAGCTGTGTCGAAGCGTCTTGACTATTGACGGCCCTTTTCGCTCACCCGCTTGGCCCCGAACCACCCTCCTCATACAAAGTCCACCGGGAAGATCCCATTTGTGTGATTGGTGCCAACACCCGGCGAAGTGGACGGCGGCCTCCTGTTAGCAAGTTAGCAGAAGAAAAGCAGTGCCGCGATGATGACATGCGAGGAGCTATAACTACTAACTAGTTGCCCCGTCGAATCTTGATCGCTGCCGCACTGGAGTCGCTTGTTTTTGACTTTTATTTTTATTTTTATTTTCTTCGCTTTATTAACTCTCACTGTGGTGGCTAGTTTCCCTTGCTGTACTTAATACTACTTACTATATACGTCCTCCAGCCCTATGCGTTTCAGTTCCAACTGTGTGTGAAACCAGTCTTACGCGTGGGTTTTCCTGGCTTTGTCGATCTGGGGCCGATCTTTCCTCTACGTCATTTTGTATCTCCTTTCCCTTTCAGCTTTGTATCCCTGATTTCAAGCGATTTACTTCTCTTTAAGACGAAAAGCAAATCTGTGTGGTCGTCATCACCCTTCCCCCCCTAGCAGGCTGACTCCTTGTGTATGTGTTTCAGACCAAGCTGTGAGGTATATAGTTGGAGACCGATATTCCCGACTTGAGAAAACCTTGCCCAGCAAGGGAAGTTGCATTTCGAGGAACCTGTTCCAGAAGAGATCAGCAGGGGATCTGATCTGAGACTTTGTCCAAGAAATTACAAGCATGACTGCGTCGTTACCCACAGAGAAACCGCAATGACTCCGGATCGCTTGTTTCCCAGACACCTGAGAAGCCCAGGGGATGATGGCTACCGAACCCCAACCATTGAAGATACCCAAAATGACCTTGCAGGAAATACTGGCGGCGATTCTTACTTTCACCCCAGAGGATCTATAATAAGCCAGGCCCACACCTCGGCATTAGACGCCATTCACAGCTCTTCATATCGCAAGTCTGAAGGAGATGGAGACGAGGGTGTGGATGGAATGGCTTACCCCCAGAGTGAAGCTGAAACCAGACCAACTGGTCTTGGATGGAAGAAGCGTATTCGTCACATTACTTGGGCATTTTTCACCCTAACTATGGCGACTGGGGGAATCGCAAATGTTCTGTACTTTGGTGAGTGTGTCCTTGTCTTAGGTAGGTATGGGGTAATTGTACTGATCGCCAGTATGAAATAGTACCCTATAGATTTCGCGGCTTGGAAACCATTGGAATCATCTTCTTCCTAGCCAACTTGTTCCTCTACATCTTAATTTGGTGTCTTTTGATAACACGTTTCTATCTATACCCTTACACTTTTAAAGCATCCTTTCTGCATCCGACAGAATCATTGTTCGTTCCAGCTTCGCTGGTCTCTTTCGGGACGATTTTGATCAATATATCACAATATGGACCCGATCACACAGGGCCCTGGCTCACATATGCGGTCGGAATTTTGTTCTGGATTGATGCAGCCCTGGCAGTCATCTCTTCTGCCGCTATTTACCTTATTCTGTGAGTACAAAGAGCCCTAACATCAAATTTGTGAGCCTAGAAACCAAGCAGGACAACTAATGAGCTGTAGGTGGTCGACCCAGACATTTACAATTGCACAAATGACACCTATTTGGATCTTCCCTGCGTACCCAATGCTTATAATAGGCCCTCATGCTGGGATCCTGAGCTCCAAACTTGAGCCTGCTCGCTCCTTGCGAATCATAATTGGTGGTACCACTATCCAGGGCGTTGGCTTCTTAGTATCCCTGATGGTATACTCGGCTTTTATCTACCGGCTGATGTCGCAAAAGCTCCCCCGAGAAAATGTCCGACCAGGTATGTTCGTGTCGGTTGGTCCTAGTGCGTTTACTGTGTCTGGGATTGTCAATATGGCAGCCCATGCCAAAAGAAGCTTCCCGGAGGATTTCATGGGCAATGGTGCATTAGCTGCAGACATTGTGAAAGTTGTTGCCAACTTTTCCTGTTTATGGCTATGGGGGTAAGAATGACTGGCCCCATTTACATTGATGATTGTAAGAAACTTGTACTGATACGCGATTCAGGTTAGCAATATTCTTCTTCTTCATTGCCAGCTTCGCACATTGGTCTGCCATTGGACCGGGCCGGATGGTCTTTTCGATGGCATGGTTCTCATTCGTATTCCCGAACACGGCACTGATAACGGCAACCTTTGCAATTGGAAAGGCCTTTTCTTGCAAGGCAATATCTATCATCGGCTGCGCTATGGTGTTTCCGCTAATCTTGATGTATATCTTCGTCTGTTATATGATGGTGCGTGCCATCGTGCATCACCAGATACTTTGGCCGCAGAAAGGAGAAGATAAAGATGAAGGAGGCTTTGAGGTCAACCGAATAAAGCCTGAGTCGCCAGGTGAGAATACACCTGTGTAGAGGGGTGCCAACGTCTCGCTCTTGCAGGCAAATAGAAGTTGTTATTGAGATGGGATGAAATCTTCGAAGGTTTTCTTGCTTGGGTCATTTTAGCGCAGCATATATACCCATAAGATGCATATAATCGGGTACCGAATGACGATAAAAGTTCTCTTGGTGCAAAAAATTACCATGTGTAGTAAGTGAGGGGGGAGACTCCTACTTAGTGGAGGGGTCCGAATACCCCGCCACAGAACTAGATAGGGAATTACACTACTCCTAAGGTTATGAACTAACCTAAGTTAGGTGTATATTTTGAAATTGCAGTATGAGTTTCCTGTAATAAGCATAGGATCTACGTAACTAGTAAAGAAGCTTTGTACAGAAGAACGCAAGAGTACGCATATCAGGAACATCCTGTTTTGGAAACCGCCTAGCGACGGAGACCTCCGTCCTCCGCCTCTCCAACTGATTTCCATTACTGATGGCAGGAACAGACCATACCCAAACGGGATTCAGAAACCATACTAGCGCATAAAGATACACCCTGATAGGCCACAATACAGTCCCCGCATCCCGAATATGGTAAAGTCCCCCATGGGCCCATGATTTGATCTGTCTCTGTCGTGTGGCAGCGCCGGCGGGCAAAAGTACTCGGCAGAGAACCTTATCCAGTTATCCAGCTTGTGACGCAGGTGTTCCTTTAATCCTAATTTAAAAATTTGAGTAAAAAAAACGAGGGGTAAAAAAACGAAAAGGAAAAAAAAAATTTCTGGGTTCCAATTTACCCCTCATATGTGATCTTGCCATCTCCGTACTCATTAGTATCCTCACCTATCCATCTCACTTGTACACGCTCCTGACCTCCGGTCAAGCCGTTTGATCATCTCCAACTCTACTTATCATATCTCCTCAATCGGTCAATTCCTGCGAACCCCTCGCACCCGCCGTCAAAATGCCTCAGAAGGTTTATGTCACGTACAACCAGGTATGCAGGTTGCTTTCGAAATCTCTACAATTTCCGAGCCCTTCAGCCACATGTAGATGGTCTTGGTTTTCGGGCTTGTGTGAGGCGTATCTGCCATTGCCGGTCTTGCATGCTCATACTTCTCGGTCATTTGGCCACATGCCTACGTCGCAGCCTAGCTTGGCCGTCACACATTTGTCCGTTCAGTTTGCAACAATCCGCTAACATCCGAATGTCCTTGGCAGGTTCACAAACTATGCCAGGCCTCCGCTGACAAGATCCTGGACACCTTCCAGCCCAATCTTATGATTGCTATCGGCGGTGGTGGCTACATCCCTGCCCGCATTCTCCGGTTCGTCGGAATAAAACACGACCCTATTTAGCAACCCTATTCTGACACTTATATTTCACACAGTTCTTTCTTGAAGCGCACTGGCGAACCTAATATTCCCATCCAGGCCATCGGTCTGTCGCTCTACGAGGACCTGGGTCGTGGTGACGCCGAGGAAGTTCCCGGAACCAAGGTCACCCGTACACAATGGCTGGACCTGAGCTCCTTGGAAATGGCCAACCTCATTGGCAAGAACATCCTCATTGTTGACGAAGTTGACGATACCCGTACCACCCTCGAATATGCCGTCAGCGAGCTCCAGAAGGACGTTGAGATTGCGCAGAAGCAGCTCGGCCGTGAAGGCGAGAAGACCAACTTTTTCGTCTACGTTGTTCACGTACGTTCATCATCACGATTTCGTTACTTTCGCCGAATTTATATCCTTCATACGACTAACAATCTCTTCAGAACAAGGACAAGCCGAAGAAGGGTGTCTTGCCCGAGGATATGATGACTTCTGGCCGTTACCACGCATCCGTCACCACCGCTGATGTTTGGATCTGCTATCCTTGGGAAGCTAAGTACGTCATTGGACAAAGCGCCGGACTATGAATATATAAACTAACATATACATTTTACAGGGACATCGACGAGCACGACAGACTTGCTCAGGAGAACCCTCTCGTCTGAGCTTCTTCTAGTCAGCGCGATATTGCTCTCGCTTAGCCACTCTTTTTACCTCGTCTTTCCATGCCTAGAAACCCTGGTTAAGCCATCCACGCATAGATACCGGCTCTTGTTGGTTGCATATATGCTGCGTTTCTCGTTAGATATTGGAAGAAGAGTTTTGCATGTTTCAGGTTTGCTACGGAAAGGTGTTTTGATGGGTTTATTTGATAGAACAAAAGCAATTTTGGTACCATGAATGATGAAGATCTTAGCTTATATTTTGCTCTTGAGTAGCGACTGCATATCTTTCACATCACATAGACTGGTATTACCTCTTAACAACAGTTGCGATTCAGGTTCGCTCACGCAGAATGCGAAACTATTCGTTTTCTCCATGGCGTTCAATAAGGAATGTAGATGGCAATGTGTCATCATACAAGAATCCCCGAATAGGGAGGTGACACCACAAAACAAAAGTGGTCCCATAGTAGTAAACATGCCATGCATAGACATAGAAACACACAAAATCGAATTGGACCGCTGAAACCCAATTACTCAGACTAAGAAGAGGTTACTTCAGTGTAATGGCATGAAACACACCTCCACATACAGGACATCAAGGGAACAATGCTCCAAGGGCCCCTTTTGCCCCAGGAAAACCTAACATTGAAAGAAGCTAGTAGTAATAAACCGCCCCCATCCAAGTAAACCAGACCACCATATTGCACAAACCAGCCGAATCAACAGGAAAAGAAACTGATATGGTATTGGGGAAGTGAGGGATTCGCTGTTTTTAATCGACATCGACATTCGCTCTGCGCAATTCGGCCTTGGCCTGTTCGATCTCCTTTTGTAGCTCTTCATGCGCCTCGGGCACGTCATTGAATGTGAGGATGGCCAGACCCAGTCGGCCGAGAAGATAACAGCCAAAACATATTAAGGCGTAGAATGGGAGCTGTAGAAGATAAAGTGTGATGGTTAGCAAGTTGGGAGTGTGGAATTGCGGATCGGAGATATTGTAGATGAAGGAGGGGGTGGTATGGGTTGTTGGTCGCAGAGGTGGGCGATGGGGAAACGTACAACAGGGATGACTTCAGTCTGGACGGTCTCGTTGAGAGGAACAAGGCCAAGGTAGAGGACTAGGTAGAGCTGGACATGGTGGAAATTATGCTGGTTAGTGACGTGGTTTGCGACAATTGTACAGCGTGTTTGTTAGACGGAGCTAGTAGCATACCGAGGAGACAAGTAGGAGAACGGAGAGAGTCTGCTGAGCACGCGTCATGGTGATGGTTGTGTAAAGTCGAGAGGAAAAGGCTTGGTTAAGATGAACTGAAGTAAAAGAGGGTAGAAGTGATGTTACAATGTTGCCCGGGTTTAGAATGAGAGACTGCGGGAGAGTTAAGCTGGTGTCTGTCTGTCTGTCTGTCTGTCTGTACGGAGCGCCTGGCCAAGTTGCCATATCGGGGCGGGTCTGGACTTGCGGCTCGGGACTAGTTGGGTCGCCGTACGCCATCCCAATCCGGGTTTAGTTTGTTACTCCTTAGTTATGGACACAAAATTGATTAATCAATTATTATTAACTAACTAGACTGCAGGGTACCTGACAAGGTAAGTAAGGGTCAAGGAGGGGTAGATTTACTTCCCCCTCTCATGACGTTGGGGGTCAAGTCTCTGGAAACTAGAGACCTGCGTCTGTCCCGTGGTTAGTTGGTATGTTGTGAGTGCTGTGTGCTGTGAGGTATAGAATGTAAAAGTATGGATTATTTCTGCAATGTTAGATTTGGCATGTTGAATAAAGAAACAACTTAAAGGATCCAGAAATTGCTTAATCTGGTCATTTCATCTCTCCTCGCAAGTAGAGCCTCGGGGGTAGCAGAGAGTCAGTACTAGTACCTACTTACTACTTTTGAGAATACACCACCTGCATTTTATTTGCTCTACCTGCACCTTGGATTCCTCGGGTGCAATAGTTTCTCGCGCTAACTCCGATCAGGTGAAGAACACCATTGTCGCTCAATACTCTATAGAATTCATCCTAGCAATCATTTACAACCTCATGATCGAGCAGTTCATAACTCTGACATAGCATCAAATTTTAGAGGACAGCGCCTTTTTATTGTCTTACAATAACCACCTAGCTTGGGCTTGCCATACCGACCAAAAAGCGGGCTTCAAGAAATGGAACCCCCTAGTGGCAGGACTGACGTCCCAGGGAGCATGCAGAGCAACGACCATCGATCTGATTTGAACCCAGGGACAGTTGGGAGTGCTCATAGAGTACAATGTCCCCCTCTCAGTCAAGTTCTCTCCGAATTGGCTTCACTGCCACCGGCCTCCACACTTGCGGCAACTGAGCCGTTGCCATCTGAAGAACAGAAGAAATTGTTCGAGTCCCTGCAAAAATGCCTCAAAGCTGCAGAGAATGCAGACATTTCGGACGCTCTGAAAGAGACTCCAGATATCCTTCAGAAGCTGTGGAAGTGCAGATCACCTTACCTAGTACCAGCTGCAGAGGCTATGGCGAATGGCAGCAGAGCCCGTAAGTCATCAACCACTTCGGTGGTATCATCATCACCATCAACCAAGCACTTTTTGTCTTGTCACCTAGCTAATATGTTTGATAGCCTTATGGCGGATATCCTATGGCAAGACTGGGGTTTTCGACTTCTTCCTTCAGCTTATAGCGTCGAAGGAGACCATTGATAACAGAGTCATCCTCCATGCGTTACGGCTCGTCGGCAATTCCTGTGCTGACACTAGTGAGTTCCCTGGCCCCAAGGGAAACTTGAAGAAAGCTCAATTCTGATTGTTCCCAGATGAGAATAGAGAGACTGTAGTGGAGCACAATTACACGGCTGCTATTGTACAGCACTCAAGCAATCCAGAATTGATTCAAGTGGTCATCCCTGTCCTTTATAACATTTGCATCGACTTCGGTAATTGGAACCCCTGCTCGGATTTCAAAGCTAGTTACGATGCTGACGGTTCATAGGGCCTGCTCAGACACAGTTAGCTGCCGATAAGATAGTCTATATCCTCTTGAAACTAGTGAAAGATGGCGCCTTCAAGGACAAGGATGCCCTGCTTGACTACGTCTTTGAGCTTATCGAATTGGTTGGAGAACAAGGCATGACTTCGCTCCCCCCCTTTTGCATTTCTATTCTAACTGTGGGAATGTTCAGAGCAAGGAATCGCCTCGTCTCCCGATGGGACTATCTCACTTCTTGTAGAACTTGCTCTTGACGAAGATGTCGCTTCCACCCCAGCCCGTTTCTCCGGTCTTGTCAGTGGCCTGGCGACATATCTAAACAATACGCGCTTTCAAGAAATCTGCATATCCAGTTACATAGTGCCTGACATTCTGGGGGTGCTCAGCCGGTCACTGACCTTTAAGACTGAGTCATCTGCTGAGGATACCCAGGCACTAGCACAGTCACGGTTGAAGATCAACCAAATCCTCGCGGAGATCTCTGGATCCACCTCATTCGCGCAGTACTATCCGCTGGATTCCCCTCTGGCCCAGTCTCTCAAGACGTGGCTAAAGTCGACAGATGATCAGCTGCAGATATGCTCCTGTGTTATCCTGGGCAACTTGGCTCGCTCAGACGCGACCTGCGAAAGGATGGTTCAAGATCTGAACATACATGAAGAACTAATAACTATCCTTAAGAGTGATGTTAGAGGCGCGGTCTTACACTCTGCGCTTGGATTCTTGAAGAACCTTGCGATCGCTGGTAATAACAGGCTGGTACTTGGAGAGGCTGGCATACTCCCAGCGGTTTCACGTCTATGGCAATACGAGTCCGTCCCCCAGGTTCAATTTGCCGCCACAAGCATCGCACGGCAGGTGATAGTGGCAGCGGTTGATAATATTTCTCGTCTCCTAGAGGGACTCCCCAGGGACGGCACTGATTCTAACGACGAACGGACGTATTTGTCTTTGCTACTTGCTCTCTTCCAGAAGACAGACTCTACTCCCATCAAAACAGAGATTGGACGCACTGTAGCCTCCATATGCCGTACTTTGGTGCCAAAGTCTCGGGAAGGGGATCCTACTGCCGTTGCCCTGCTGGACAGGTTCTTCGACTTACATGAGGATATCGCGCTGCCGGTTGGTGCTATGATCGCCCAATCACAGTGGCCTGTCGTCCGGAGTGAAGGCTGGTTCGCAATGGCCCTTATGGCGTCCAATAAAGGGGGCGCCATGGCAGTTTCAAGCTCCCTACAAAGGATGGAAATTCTTCCACTGCTTGAGAAGACGTTGAGTGCAGAAGCCTCTGAAAGCGCGGAGGAGACCGAACAATTGCAGACGAAGAAAGATCGTGACAACATTTCTGTCCTGGTGCAGGAGTTGCTGAAGAGCGATGTAAGTCTATTCTCAGAACCAAGATTTTAGCCATGATTGGTATTGACGCCCCCTTACCAGCCCGACACGCTTGCCGAAACCGATAAATCTACCATGCAGCAGTTAATGCACAGCCATGTGTCCAGGCATCTTCAAGACTCCAAGCCAACAGTAAATGGCTAAGAGAGCATCATGCCTATCCATCCTCACAAGCATCTTATACCTTCTTATGTCACCTCTGGTCTGATACAAATTATTTTTAGACAGTGGCTTGCCGGCCGGTATTGGCTGCAAAGATTTTGTAAGCTCTGGATGAGCTTTCCTAGTCAAATGGATAAAACCGGGTAATTAGAAGACTCCATAGAATGAAAGATGATCGTGAAGCGGGCGCCTGCATGAATGCGTAGAATGCGTAGGAATCGTATAAACTACTAAACCACAACTACGTAGTAGCAGTAAGTAGGAGAGAACAAGTACTACTCGATGACGTCGCCCCACGTGCTTGGCCCGCCGGCTGGGCTTCCTGTCCATCCCGAAACTCCAACAAACAACCAGAAGCAAAGCAAAGCAAGCGCATCTCCTCTTCGCTCTCTCCCTCGCCTTTATTATGACCGCCCAGGCCAGCTATTGTGCTTTCGATGACTGATTCACCTGCTCTCGAGCCGGTGTCTTTACGAGAACATGAGGACGGCCGTCCTCGCGAGCCGTTTCTGTTTAAGCCGTGGTAGAAATCCACTGCTACTGTCCCGCCTTCTTCCGCAGCCTCGATTGCGTTTCGCGCGCAGGCCATTATGGACGCAGCAGCCTTTGCGAAGACCCCCGAGGGGAGGTCCCTCGATCAGAACTGTTCTCATTGCTGCTATGACGCCAGGAGCATTCCTACAACTGGCCGAGGATGGAGATGACGACAACGGGAAGACCGGCGAGATGCAGATGCTGGAAGTCTCGCGCCAGGAGGTACGAAAGACCGTCGACGACAATGCGCGAGGCTTGAAGCGAATCTGGCAAACACTCTACGTCTTTACATACTGTTACATATATGATCCGATTGCGACGGGCTTCCGGTTTGTCCATCTCGTCATAATCTTCCTACCTGTCATCCTTACGGCTCCGACGATATGCTTTGGAAAGCAGTTGAAGGATCGCGAGGGCATACGCACAGGGACTCTCTGGTGGTATAGGTTTCTGGTCCGATCTATGGAACGCGCAGGCCCAGCGTTCATCAAGGTAATTAATTAGTCGTCGAGCTCTTTCACTCCGTGCTTTACTCATTCGCGGTCTTCATCTAGCTTGGACAATGGGCGGCCTCACGTACCGATATCTTCCCACCGGAACTCTGCGACATCATGTCATCACTGCATTCCAATGCACCTGCACACTCATTGCATCAAACGAAGCGAACAATAAGGAAGGCGTTCAATTGGCTGCCATTCGAAGACATATTCGAGGAATTCCAAGAAGAACCATTGGGCGTGGGCGCTATCGCGCAGGTATACAAGGCGAAGCTCAAGCCCAATCTTGCTGGGACCGATGACGACATCGACCTTCATCCACATGGTCTACGAGACAAGGTACGAAAGAACGTTGGGGCGTTAGTCAAGAGCTCTCCTCAAAGGGTACCATCGTCCTATGTAGCCGTCAAGGTGCTTCATCCGAGGGTAGAACGCGTGATTCACAGAGATCTGAAAATCATGTCGTTCTTCGCATCCTTAGTCAACGCCATACCTACCATGAATTGGCTGTCTTTACCGGATGAAGTTCATCAGTTTGGTGAAATGATGAAATTACAGTTGGACCTACGGATTGAAGCCACAAACCTTGTCATGTTCCGTGAGAAGTTCAGGTCACGCACCACAGCCTGGTTCCCATACCCGTATCTGGACTATTCTACCCGCGAGGTGCTCGTGGAGGAGTTTGCACAAGGTATTCCCTTATCGACCTTCCTCGAGGTAGGTGGAGGCGTCTATCAAGAAGAGATCGCGAACGAAGGCTTAGATGCCTTCCTCCATATGCTGTTGATCGACAACTTCGTCCATGCGGATCTACACCCCGGGAACATCATGGTTCGATTCTACCGGCCGAGTGAATTGGACCTGTCACTGGGAAATAAGTCTCGCGCATCGGAGGCACCATCTGCGGAAGAGGTTGATGTTACAGAATCTGTGCTCGCACGGTTGCGCCCACATATCAATAATCGGCGCGACTGGGTGAAAGCGCTTGATGATCTAAATATTGAAGGCTATCGACCCCAGCTCATATTCATCGACACTGGACTGGTGACTCAACTTAATGAACTTAACCGGCGCAATTTCATTGACCTGTTTCGCGCCATTGCCGAGTTCGATGGGTATCGAGCAGGTGAACTCATGGTCGAACGATGTCGTCAACCGGATGCAGTGATTGACCCATATTACTTCGCTTTGGGCATGGAACACCTGGTGCTAAACATCAAGTCACGCACGTTTGCCCTCGGTAGCGTCAAGATTGGAGATGTACTGAGTGATGTCCTATCCATGGTCCGTAAACATCACGTTCGACTCGAGGGGGATTTTGTTAATGTCGTTATCTCATGTCTTCTCCTTGAGGGCATTGGACGTAATTTGGATCCCAACCTTGACCTTTTCAAGAGGTAGGTAGACATTCTGGCTTTGTTACCTCGAATGGCCCATTGACTGACTCGTTTTGTTATTTAGCTCCCTTCCCATTCTACGGAAATTGGGATCTAACACTACCGCTTTCAAATCCGTCCGGTCCGGCGACATGTCCATGCTTCGCGTATGGGTAGGGCTGGAGGCACGCGGATTGCTCCAAAGCAGTTTCGAAACCGTCGAGCAGTGTGTCAAATACGATCTCTTATCGCCTAACATATGATTGCAGATGCAAGGGCAAGGATCGAACAACACAGCCAGCATCCGCTTACTTCTCCAAGCGGTCCAGGGACAAAACACACATATTCAGCCAATGATGGTTGAGAGACGTAACAGGAAATCGAGGCGCGATGTATACTCTTGGTTCTATACGCACAGAGGTCCGCCTTGATACCCATCTCGCCGTCACAGGCACTGAGTGACAGATACCCTTAATAGCGCCTGTGGTCGAGCTTTCCACTACTCTCCACTACTCTCCACAGTTGGCACAGTCAGCACCGATCTTGTCAGTCGTGCTTCAAGTGATGTATTGCCGGGATACGTCAAGCAAATGACGGATTGAGCTGAAATGACTGCCGAGGCAAAGCCATCCTGTACAGTATATTAATATATAGTAGCCAGTCACTTATGCACAGCATTACGATAGATTACAAACACGAATTGTACCTTTCATATCACCGCCCACGATTTGATGGCAGCATGAATTCATATATATTACAAATCAAGATAATTAATATCAAGACAAATTCCACATGAAGGGAAGAGAGTGGAGCTGAGAGGGTGGCACTAAAAGCCCAGAAAAAGCATGCAACCAATAGAGAGAAATAACCCCGGTCGTCCGATTTGACGACGAACTTTCCTGATACTCCAGCATCCACATGACGTTATAATAAAGACATAGCCGAAATAAATAGAGGGGCACGCAAACCAAGTGATCCGATCGAACAAGAACATGAATACTATAGCAGGGCAGTTCCACAGAATGAACGAAGAACCGAGACCAGACGCCTGCGCCTTCCCAGAGTGTTTAAAGAGTATCCTGCTGAACGGTGTCGACGAAAGTTGCGGCCATGCGATGCTAACGATGATCAACCGATTGATGAATCGACCAACCAGTCGGTTTAATTTTCCCGAACGGAGGCGCCACTGGCACGCCACCAGACATCTCCTCCCCATCTCATTAGTCGCTCAACAGCGGCAGTTGGGGTGTCCAGGGCCGGTCGGATATCCAAGTAGAAAACAGGCTCTCCGGTGGGTTCGGGAGGACCGGAGTAGTAGTCAATAACATAACGGACTTCCTTAGGACCGGATGGCGTCTGCCGCATTACAAACCAATCGTGGCGATCGAAAGGTGGGTTTGACCTACAGTAACAGGCAAATGTTAGTTGAGAATCCTCAAACGGAATAGAAGAAACAGGCGCTAATGGGAGTACTGACTCGAATTTGGCAGGATACACCCAGCCCAAAGCCTGAAGGATCCGTGCCTTGGGCGTTAGGTCTTGCGGACGACCCTGGAATCGGATGAGTCGCGGCGGAGGAACATCCTGCTTGGGAGCCCTAGACATCTGCTCCTTAAGCTCGTCCATCACGATGTTCTCCTCTCCGCGACGGCATTTCTCCCAGCCATCTGCCAAACCCTTGGAGAATATACGCTCCCACCGAACAATCTCATCCCAAGCGCCCTCATTCAAGAAGTTGTGAACAGCAACCATGGCCTCCACGGCATCCTGCGGGGTATCGGTGTAACCTTTGCGCAGCATGGCGTTGTACATCTGCTGGGGGGAAGGATATTCCCAGTTCTCGTTCATATCGGATCTGGGGATGGACGAAACTTCTCGCTCCACCGGGAGATCTACAGTCTGGTTGGGCGCCCTTTCCTGGGAGATCGAGGCGAACATGTAGTTGAGAGGGTTCAGCTTTGAGAGCGTAGATCGCGAGTCAGAGCTGGGAGCTGGGTTCGAGGGAGGCTGCGACTCCGGGGACTTGGACTTCGGAGGCACATAGAAAGGGGAATCTGTAGACCGGACTGGACAGGCACTGGGAGGTTCGGAGGCGGGTGACGGGGCTGGCATTGCCGGTGTGGTGTTAGATGCGTGCATAGGACATCCTGGCTATAAGAATCCGTCAGATTTCTCGCATCTGCGCATAAGTAGCGTTTTTACGTACGGGAGGAGAGGCATCTGAAGATGGCACAGGGTGCGGAGCCGCGGGCGCGGGCTTTGTTTGAGAGTCTGCCCAGAACCAACCCATTATTGATGCGCGATGGAACACAAAAAAAGTTTAGACGAGAGGACGAGGAAGTTGACGACAGACTGCCGGACGCAATATGCTAGGGAGGGAGTGGGGGGCCGTCAGAAGATATCTCCAGCAAAGGGCGAGGACAAAAGCGATGATGTATAGCGACGGTATCGACAGTAATTTCGGCGATACGAAATGATTTTATTTGCAAGCCGGAAAATTCCCGCCCGCCGCCCACGTGATTCCGGTTATCTCCGCCATTGTCCGCAGCCAATCAGGCGTGAGCTGATTGACATCCCTCTGCAGGCCTGAGGCACTGCTGCGGTCAGAGCAGAAACAAGTACTTGATACTGTGGAGGCCACCACGCCTGCAAGAGTGGTTCTTTCTAATATTAAGCAGACTTACTTATGTACAAGTATTCGCTCCATCCGGATCCAAACCATCCTTACCATCCTGGTTGGGCGACCTCTTAGATAACAACAATCGCATGTTCCAAGACGCAAAAGGGCTGGGATAGAGCAGACCCAACGACAAATGGTTGAGGAGAAGTGATAAATAATCTGATGAATGTCTGGAACGCCAAATGAAATCCCCCGGCGCCCTCCAGTAACTGAGAAATCAGATAAGCCCATAAATATCTGCACAAACTCTCCCGGACCACTGTACTGAAACAAGAGAACTGAAAGCGGGGTCCTTGAAAAAAATAAGTCGATCAGAAACAGCACTGGCTGGGAAAGACAAAAAAAAAGAAAAAAAAAAGACAGAATAAGAAAGGGAAATCGTTCGGGGGTGTCTGCATGTCTGATCAAACGCTTAATTGGGCAATCTGAAATATACAAAGGGAGCGGAAAGCCGAGCCAGCTCGACATTGTCGGCCATTAGCCTTGGACATCCTTCACCAGCCTGGTCAGAAGTGCATATCCGAATAGAATTGCAAACCCAAGCCAGATCTTGTTGCGGCGGACCCAGCTTTGGCCTGCTTCTCGGGCGACATGGCCACCTTCCATCACCGCACCGAGTCCCGGAGCGCTACCATTCGGTCGTCGGCGAAGCGCACTTGTCTCTGGAGAGCATCTAGTCGCACTAGGATCAGGCATGAGCTGGCCAGTGTTGGTGTCGATGCGACTATCCTTCATCCACCTCCAATTTTCTTGGTCAAGCTCTGGCCACTCCGAGCGAAACTTTAGACCGCCGTCTCCAGCTTTCACATTGTTGATACCCTTGGCAGTAGGGGTCACGCCCGGGGTCGCGCTGACATGGGAACCGCCACCAGTAGAATTCCACCACCTAGAACGCGCCGCCAGCACTCGTCGCTCTGCCTCCGATGCGCTCACGCTTCCGGTGGTCATCTCTTCGCTCGTCATAAAGGAGAGCAAGCCAATGAGAATGGTTGAAACCTCCCAAGCGGGATTAAATGACTTTGGATGAAAGTCACTGATGCTGAGGCATAGCCGAGTTGATGGTTGAAAGCGACCGCTAGGAGTGTGCATACGAATAGCCGGAGGAGCGAATGGGTACTCGGGAGGGAACATTAGGGTACCCCAATACTGGCCATTTTCATACGGTGTGCCCGGGGGTCCCGTGAGAATGTAGTGCCATCTAGATGAAAGGTCAACTTTAGTCGCAAACAGGCGACGCAGGTAGTGATAGTCTGCTACAAATGACGTACTCAAGTATATTGGACTCTGACGGATGTGCCACAATGTAAGGCGGGGGATTCTTTTGAATGTTCTGGTATTCGCGAGTAAGCTGTTCATCTGTTAGTTATACAATGCAATGGAATGGTTCCTTTTTGATAGGGCGCAACGTACGCGCTTGAAAGCCGCTTTTGTCGCCATCCTTTTTATAGTTCGTTCTGGGTCTGTTTGCAATAAGATCGGAGACGGGGGCGAAGTGCGGGAGGACAAAAGAACGAAAGTAGCGAAGGTCAGGGGCGACAAGGGTAGAATTAATAACAGAGACTGAGCTGTTGGGAACTGGCCCAAAGTCAAAAGGGGCGGACAGGAGCAGATCGCAAGGCAAACGCTATCTGACACCAAGGCGATGGCGGAATGGGGGAGAGAGGGGAGAGAGGGAAGATCTGGGTCTATAGTTGGTTTTAGTTGCGTTGCGGCCTGGCTTGTAAGGAACCCCCCGGAGGCACCTCGGGGAACGGTCACGTGCGAGGGCGGATGGCTTCATCTTCGCCGCTTCGGAAGGGAAAGCAGGAAAGGAAAAGCAGGTCTCATCTGGCCATTGCCGCCGCAGCAATGTCCTCTCCACTTTCTGCTGATGACGAAGATGTTCGTGATGAGTCCCCATTAGCTTCACCCTGAGGAATTCCCCCGGGCACTATGCACTGACCACAAACGGCGTTCTCTCTCTTCTAGATCTTCGCGCGCCTGCAACAGCGTGCCGATCCGAAAGTGCTGAACGAGCAGCAGCAGGCAGTTGATGAGCGCGTTCGTGCCATTTATCAAAAGGCGCAGACTCGCCTTGGTGAATTGGTAAGCTACTGTTCCCTCATGGTTGGCTGTGGGCCATGGATATGATCATTACTACTACTATACATCGTGCGTCATGATAGCTGACCTATGAGCTTGTATAACATCAGCTCGACCAAAATTCCACGTTGCCATGCACTATTTCTTCGGTAGAGGTTCACGGAGCTCGCAACACCCGCCGAGGCTTCCTGGAGCGGATCTTCGATCCCCTTCTAAGCAGTAATCAAGACAGACCCTATACGCTCTCCGAGGCCTTGCGGGAAGTTTCGGCACGTGCGGACAAGCTCAACAGATTCGGTTCGTCCCTTTCCTGAAGATAGCTAGCTTAAGGCTCGACTCTAATTTCATGTTTAGACATCTTCCAACAGCCCGTTTCGGTATACTTGGACCAGTCCGAAGTAGACGGGTCGGGTATCCCGAGCATTAAAGTTCATCTCTCCGGCAAAGAAAGGTCCCGGGTGCTGTTGAAGACAGGTACTGATCTTGGAAATGCCGAAGGTTCGGCTTATGGCAACCTCCTGTGGCGTAATGTGTTCGGAGGTGCAGAGAACCTGAACCTAAATGCGTCTCTGGGCACCCGAACAAGGTCTGCCTATCAAGCCACTTTTGACACTCCAGTCCTGAGTAACCCGGATCTCCGTCTGGAGCTTGGTGGTATTGCCAGTGCCACGCAGAAGTCCTGGGCGAGCCACGAGGAGGTGCTTCGAGGAGGATGGTCCAAATTCCGCTGGGCAAGTCCTTCCGGTCAACAACATGAATTCGGCTACAACGGTTTCTGGAGACAGATGACTGGACTTGCCGAGAACGCATCCCCTACTGTTCGAGCTGATGCAGGCGACAGTGTCAAGAGCAGCGTGTTCCACAGCTGGACCAAGGACCGAAGAGATAGCCCGCTTCTTCCCTCTCGTGGTTACTACGCGAAGTTGTTCAACGAAGTGGCTGGCTGGGGCCCCCTTAAGGGCGATGTCTCCTTTTGGAAGTCAGAGATTGAAACGCAAGCTGCAATTCCCATTCCGATTCCTGGCATCAAAGGGGACAGCGGTATCAGCTTGACTACTGGCTTCCGCGCCGGCCTTCTTTACCCTCTTGGCCTCGACAGTGACTCCAAACCCCAGCTCTCTCGCACGAACGACCGGTTCCTACTTGGAGGCCCTACGGATGTCCGTGGATTCCGTCTCTGCGGTCTTGGTCCCCATGATGGAGCAGATGCTGTCGGTGGTGATGTCTATGCTGCAGGAAGCGCCAATCTTCTGTTCCCGCTCCCCAGGGTAGGCGCGGAGAAGCCTCTCCGCCTGCAAGCTTTTGTCAACGGCGGACGGTTGTTGTCCCTCCGCACGGCTGACAAGAACGCACCTACTTCGGGAGCGGAGGTCCAAAATGCCATGGCTTCCACGGTTTCCGAGCTGACCAATGGTCTGCCTAGCATTGCGGCGGGTGTCGGACTTGTCTACGCCCATCCAGTGGCCAGGTTTGAGCTCAATTTCTCCCTACCCCTGGTACTTCGCAAGGGTGAGGAAGGCCGGAAGGGGCTGCAGTTTGGAATCGGCATTAATTTCCTGTAGAAAATATTTGACACTGTAACAAACTAGATAGAGGAGGGGGAAGGGAGACTGGGGAGAGTTGCTCATATTTTTATTTCTTTAGTAAGGGAGTTCCCGTTCCTGTTAGAAGCATGAATCAATTAAGCGTTGATGTTCCACGATTATTAGCTCGTTAAGTATACAACTAATAACTATATCTGTAGCGATATGGAGGAAGCGATGTGGCTGGTGGCCTTGAGGACTCAGGCAACTCATCTCACCGCCCGCCAGCTGTTCTCTCTCTACTTGCAACTCCTCGTCTCCATCTCCATCCTCAACTTCCCAAATCAGTCTCCCCCTCTGCTTACTCTTCTAATCGATAGCGCGACATTCCGACACGTACACTAGGTCCTACAGTTTCTACTCATCTCTTCAATCCGACATCGACCCCAAAGCCTGGCCGCAATGGCCCAGTATTACCCCCAGCAGCAGCCTTACGGCGTACAATCATCGGCGCAAAACCTCCAATTCTACCCTTCATCCTATACCTCCGTCTCGGGCCATACGACCCCGTCACAGGCATCCTACGGCGGTTTCGGTGGTGCGCCTAACCCAGCATCTCAGGCATACCCCGTCGGAGGGGTTGGTGGCGGATATGGCGGCTTCGGGTCCCCTTCTGCAGGAGTCAGTGGAAGGATGGGTGAGCAAGGAGGACTGAGGACCGGATGGCTCGCTGCATTTGGCACGGAGGGCTACGATGGGGAGCCGCCACTTCTAGAAGAGTTGGGAGTCAATTTCGAGCATATCCGCACGAAGGTGTGTACATATTGCAAGCCCCCCACCCCCCCGGTCTGATCAACCAGCTATATACAGCAGGAGCTCTAGTGAAACCCAAGCTTACCATTGCTCCTACCTTATAGACCCTAACTGTGCTCAACCCTTTTGCGCGTATCGACCAACACCTCATGGATGACAGCGACCTCTACGGAGCCCTTCTCTACATCGTTCTATATGGAACATTCCTGCTCCTCTCCGGCAAGGTCTTCTACGGCTACATTTACGGCGTCGCAGTCTTCGGGACCGTAGCTTTACATCTCATTCTCAGTCTGATGTCTCCCGCCCTGGATACGGCCCCCGTCCCCAACGCCGCAGATCCCGCCAATTACTCTCCCCATCACAAACCCACGATGTCGGACTCCTCCGCTGCCGGCCACTTCTCCGCTACTTTGACCTTCCCTCGATCCGCTAGCGTGCTGGGATACTGTTTCCTCCCGCTAGTGCTGACCAGCTTAGTGGGGATCCTGATCCCTATGGACACTCTGTTCGGATACTTGTTGACTACCGCCGCCGTGGGGTGGTGCACGTACAGCTCCTCGGGAATGTTCTGTGCTGTGGCGCGCATGCGTGGAATGAGGGGCCTAGTCGCGTACCCACTGGCATTGTTTTATGTGGTCTTTGGGATCATGGGTATCTTTTCGTCTCGGGGAAGTGGGACTCTGGCTGCTAAGACGGGCGCGGCGTGATACACATTATACATGCAAGCATGCACAGACGATATCTGATTGAAATCATGACAACGAATCATTAAGCTCTCCCTTTCTTCTATACATACTATTTAAGGAGACATGGATTGTTCCTTGAACTGCGTAGATTTATAAATGCCGAATTTAGATGTCCACGAAAAGAGTTCAAATATAATATCAAGTCTGAGGGATATCTTCCAGCCACAAGTGCGTAGCAGGCCTCATTAGATATAGTATTCTAACATTGATAGTGATCCGCATTCAACACGTGAGAGAATACACAATGCTTGAATAGTATCGTTGCTTAAGTGGCTGATAATATTCTGCATGGTATTTGACAATATTAACAAATTTCTATTTACCGTTGAAGCGAATACGTGCCTTCCCCCTGCGCAGGCGCCCAATTTTCTAACCACTCTCGCGCCTTATCTAGATTCCCCGCCGTGGTTTCAACGGCGGAAACGCACCACGGCAATGCATAGGTCTTGCCGTCAGCTACTGCGCCCTCAGCTGAGAGCATTTCTGCAGCAATGCGACGTTGCTGGCCTGCCTGATCCGTGCAAAAGTAGAAAGGAGCGGTGTTCGGCGCATCTCCTTGAAGATTGACGGCGTCAAGCAAAGGCCGCACTGCGGCTAGAATAGCAGCCGCGCCCATCGGAGCAGACACACCAGATGTGGAAGACGGTCTAGCTTGCTTGCCCGTCTTGCAGTATTCGTTTTGACACCATGATTTGCCGCAGCCGCTCATCATCTGAGAGAGGTAGCGGCGCTCGATGCGCCGCCGGAGCGCTTTGCCTTCGGGATCGTAGGTGTCTACGTACAGTGGTCCAAAGCAGATGCTGCATAGACCGAGCTTGACTGCAGTCTGCGTACCGCGTCCGTCAAGCGTCCGTCCGCAATTTTTATTTAAGCATATGCGAGGAGTGGGTCGAGACAGGCGTTCTAGATCATGATGGCGAAGGTGCATCTTCATGTCGCGAAGACGGATGATTTTGTCACAAAGGTGGCATTCGGTTGTCCGGCCACCGTCCACCAATTCATGTGGTGTGAGACCGGAGACTAAAACGTCCGGATCATCCATCTCAGGGTCTGATTCACTCTTTTGAGGGACCACAAGATGACAAAATTGGCACAAAATGGGCTTGGCCGGACAGACAGTTGTGCGGTGTTGAGCGAGACGTGGGAGGTCCTCCGCCTCAAATCCACAGCTACTACAGGAGCGCTTGCTGTGAAAAAAGAGATTGTGTCGATTCTTTTCTGCGTCGCCGGTGCCATAAGCCGAGTCATGAGGACAATGCCAATGGTTTTGCCATTCCGAAGACCGCTTCTGGAACACGTTCTGGCACTGGGGGCAGAGGATGTTGTTTCGAAGGCAAAAGTTCTCATGTAGCATCAATGTCCGTTCAGGTACCCATTGACGACAGTTCTTACACTGGACATCACCCGGTTCATGGCTTTTTGGCTCGATGCCTGCAGCATTCTCAGCTTGTGCGGGTGACGAGCCCACATGAACCTGTAGGCTGTACGGCAGCGCCGAAACTCCAGTTTCTGAACTGGCGGTGGAAGTGGGTGCATGTACCGATATGTACAGCATCTCAGCGCCTTCCATATCCACATTCGTAGGTTGGATCCTAATCCGTTTAGTCGGCCGATTAGATAGGTCACTGAAAACATGCTCATCTTCCCGCGGTCGGTTCCTCTGGTGAGCAGAAAGGGGACTGGCAAAGAGGCAGAGATCTGCCTCATCGGCACCCTCGACAGATACTTCCAGTGCATTCGTAGGATCCCATTTGTGGACCTCGTAGTCGACATAGTCCCCAAGCGCAACTTGGCCAGTTACTACTTGACCAAGTCGCAACTCGCCCCCAACAGATGTGCCTGCCCTATTCCCAGAGACACGAGCAGATTTCTCCAATCGTTTCTCCAACGTTTCTCTGGCTTGATCCTCCGTCAAGGCGACAATATCCACTTCCAAGTCCGTATCCACAACGCAGATGCCATTGCCATGAGGCTCAACTTTGTCAACCAAAAACTGGAATGACTGATCGCGCCCCCCTGCAACAGTAAGGACCTCTCCAGAGGTTAATGTGGTGTAATTGTCCCGCAGCTGTTGTTCAAGCAAAGCCTTCCAATTCCCCGGGTCGTATCCAGCTTCTAGAGGGCGCAGACGGACATAAGTACCTTTTGGTAACTGCTGCGCATGGACCGTGACCGTGGTCGGGGCGGCTGGCGCATCGTCTGTCACTTCACCATCAGTACCATCATCATCGTGTGGTGACGGTCGTCCAGTGGCATCAATGCCAAGTGCCCCGCGCAAAAAGGTACTGAGACCAATCTCGTTCTCTGGCGCAGAGAACTCACGAACGCCAGCATATACCACCCGCTCGTTCTGAGGGTTCACGATGCGGAACGTAAGCGGATGGGGCAATTGCTGCTGGCGATCCACCGCCCGTTCGCGTGCCTGGGACTCGGCGGCGAAGGTGTGCGGATTAAAAGGATCGAAAGTGCTGTGGTATGGGCGTGCTGGACCTGACGAAGTTACCTCTTGAAGCGGGGCAGCCGCGAGAAGCTGCTCGAGCGCGGATGGCGGCAGTATGATCTTATCGCCGGAAAGCTTGGGAATTTGCTGGGCTGGAGCAACGGTCAATTGCGACGACCAGCGCAAGGAACCTTGGTTCCCCGTCATGATATCCGAAGCGGGAGGTAAAGAGGTATGTGAGGAAGCAAAGGGAAGGAGAGTGTGGAGGGGAGAGTGGAGACGAGGGCAGTAGCGGAGATCATCATGGGTCAAGAATCAGAGATTAAGAATGATGGTGGGCCGGGGGGAGGCGATGAATGATGAAAAGAATGCATGCATACATCAGCCATTGCGGCTCATCTCAGGTTGCGAAACACCGCGTGCCTTCTGGAACTCCAAGCGCCGATTTGTCATCTAACTTCAGTCTGTTTACTGTCCACTTTCCCTACTACTACTCCATCTTACTACTACTTTTTGACAACTAACGATCATTGTTTAACCTCCTCTTGCTTCCTAGGGCCTACAACCCTTTCAAGCTAGATACACTCAAATTATGGCTAAATCATACGCGCTGCAGTGGTATTCTGAGTGGCGAGAAAAGCACGCCGGCTAATATAGTACTACCAAAAGAAAAAAATATATATGAAGAAAAAATGAAAGAGACGAGATCGTGAATCCTAACGAAAAAAAAAGCCTCAATATAGCAAGATGAGATCAGGCTGAGAGAGGTTGAGAATACTTAAATGTTTGAAGGATCTTAGAATTGCGTGTCTGCACCAAACTAGCTCATGGGAGCCTCGACTCGCACAGGATGTCAGTACAGTTCTCTCACCCGATGCCGGGTACTGGCATTGCACCAATCGCACTGTGAGAATGCCAACAAGGTCAATGTGAGTCGCAAAAGGGGTTTGGGTGACTTAAGGAGCATACCATCGTCGACGAACATCCCTCATTGTGCTCAACACAATATTCACCACGGCAGCTTTGGCAAGTTCGCTGGCATTCCGTCTTGCACTGGACACACTGCACAAGCTGTTAGAACAGCGGCAAACATAACCGTAGTCTCATTGACTTACCGTTGGACCGCATTCCCAGCAATCTTTGCTTACACCGCGGCTGAAGTGCTGTTCAATTTAGTCAGCCAATTTTTCTACATCATACGGCGCCTTTCAGATACGAACACTATGATCTTCGGACTGTTCAGTACTACCCAGATTGCTCTGCGGGTTTCTGAACGCTGTCTGGTGCGGCGAAAGATTGTTCCGTACACGCTCTGGATGAGGCAGGCAATCCTCACAGAACCATTTATTGCAACGATGGCACCACCGATCTGTCAAGCAATCTGTGCAGCGAGCGATTAGACTTGGCTGCTCGTCCGGAATCAACACCGGCCTTTTTGCCTTGACTACAGAGGAAGAGTGGAGCGGTGGCGGCGTCAGCAGGGGAAGGTCTTCATCCGGGGACTGACCCCAGAAGGTCGGGCCTTCGGGTGAGGTGTGGCAGCCATCGCATCCTCGGGGCCCTAGTGCAACAGTTGCCAGTTTTGGCGCAAGCGGCGGCCGGCCCTCTGGCTGAGATGCACTCTGGCCTTCCGGCATGGGAGTGGAAAGATCCACGTCGTGACGAGGACCACGGCACAAAACAGCGTCAAATGCAATGATACCTTCGCACTGCTTGATTGTCTCTGCCCAGCCATCCTCAATGCTCCGCTTGAAGAGCTGCCCGGACGAGCGATACCATGCATCCTGTTGCTGTGTGGCACTTTCAGCAACTTCACCAGTTGCAGACCCGTTTTCCGGACTCGGGGTAATGGACGATTGGTTGCCACATCTCGAGCTCCACCAGTCGCGGTATCTGCTGCGAATCACCGCACGAGACTGTTGGAGGGGAGTAAAGTGATAGATTCCTTTAACGCGGGGTGTGCCCTTAGGGCGGGAAGGCCGTACCGCATGGGTCAGCACCTGCATCAGTTTCCGCTCATTGAGATGGCGGCACTCCCTTATAGATAGAATGTTGACGTTGAAGCGATCTGTGAGGATAATTTCCGCAAGCAAATCCGCTGGAACGGACAGTCCATCCAGAACCAATGTGCGCACGTCCTGCAGGATCGACTGCCTTTGGAGACTAGCAAAGATGCCCCTCAGAGGCGCAGAATAAAATTCGTCCTCGACTGCGGAGTCTTCCCCTTGCTCACCACTCCATACTTGCTCCGCCGAGTCTGTCGTAGATGTGCTGGCTGGTTTCGCACCACGGCATTGGGTCAGATCAAGGTGGCGGAAAATGTAGGGAGTGTCCACTATCGATGACCGAACCTGGCGGGAAGTAGATGCTAGAGCCAACAATGAGGAGGTTGACAGATATGGGGCCATATGATCGAGGATTAGACTGTTGGATAAGACATCGGCCAAAGAAGCGCGCTTGGGTGCAATCGGCTGGACAGGCCGAAGGTGTTGCTTGGACGCGGTCTTTACATGATCATCTTCATCATCGTCCGCCTGTACTTCGCGGACAGCCGGGACAAGTCCCAGCTCCTTGGGGGTCAACCGACTCGCGCCGTAGAAAAAGTCCGGCGCACGGTCGATGAGATTTTGACGATATGCTGCCACGGCACCCAAAGCGAGCTCATCTCGCTTCGTAAATAAAGAGGATGCCGTAGGTTGGATCTCATGGAGCGCCGCTCTAGCCTTGGCTAGTTCTGTCTCCAGAAGATCGATGGTCGATTGAAGGATGATGGGCATGGCTTTGGTACTACCGGGATCGATTGCGGTGACTAAAGTGGACCATAGCTCACCGCTGGACATACTAGGGAGTTATACAGAGGCTCTGGGCGCCAAAAGAAGAAGTGTCACGGGGGGCAGCGAAGGAAGAGTGGCAATGCGACAAGAATGAGATCACCGGACTAGTGGACGACGATCAGGGAGTTGTTCGTGCGCAATCTGCACCACTCAGGCCAGCTGGTTGGGTAGTTGGGCAGGGTGGCTAATAATAGGATCTAGAAATGCTATATAATGCTTGGATGTATATAGTACTTCTTTCTCCTCTGACGGGCTGGTCGGGCCGATTTGCGCAGGACAGTCAATTTGTATGCTGCATCACGATAGGATGAAGTATGAGTGTTCTCTGTTACTAGTTCGCGGATATTGAAACAAGCACGAACAACGAAATGTTACCTACCCAGTAGACAATGGAAGTGACTGAACAAGCGTGTCCGTGGGACCCTATCGGGTGAAAGGACCAGTAGGCAGGAGGAAGGCTTCAAGGGGAGAAAAGATGGCTTCTAGAATGCCGGTGGAATTGGAGGGTGGGTGCCTCTAGAGCTTATTTTCAAATACGGGGAAGGGAGGGAAGATAAAGAGCCGTAGATATGGGTGCATACGAGCCTGTAGGCAAGAAGGTTTGGGAATAAAAGGAAACCTCGTTGACAACAGTAGCCGGGGAGGAGGCAGTTAAATACTTAGTCTTATATAGTGAAAAAAGAAAAAAAAAAAAAAAAAAGAAAAAGAAAAGAAAAGAAAAGGTAAAAGAAAATTAAAGGAACAACACAGACGGCAATGAAGAGAGAGCCAAAAGAAGGAAGCCGGTGTGGGAACCTAAGAGGATAGACCAGACTAAATTCATGCAACCACTTGAAACGGACAACGGGCAAGAAGGCGAGAGGATGGCAAGATCCTCACCTCAGCAGCGACCTACATGGGGGGAGGTTTACCATGCGAGCCGAGCCAGTGATCTACTTCGGATGGGCCTGAGAGAATGAATAGATAGATGGGAGCTGCAGGTTGTACTCGGTACTCCGGACAGATCATCAGACGGGCCAAGCATTCATCCAATCCGCCAGGGTGGGTCGCAGGTTGGGGTGAGAGGGGGGAAGGAAGGCAAAGGCAAAGAAGAGGAAGAAAGAGCAGAAGAAGCAGTCAGAGATCACCTAACTAGCCAGACCATGCATGACTCCAGACGGACCGAAAGGATAGGCCCACACCTTTTTTCTTCCCCCCGGGGGGAAGGGGGTACTAAGAGTTGGGTAATTGGGAAAGAATGAGAACAGCTAACTACATACTACGTACTTAGTAGATTATGCATTAGCCATTAGCCAGTCATCAACTTACTACTGTACCACGCTGTAGAACTACTAGTACTACCTACTACTATCTGCTATCTAAGAAGGGGGGCGGTAGCATCGGTGTGATTGGGGGTTTTAAAGGACGGACCATCTTATCCGGATGGAGAATGCATCTTGCCTCCTGTCCAGCCAAGCCCTCTTTTCCTCCGATTATCAGTTAAGTAAAAAAGGAAAAAAGAGGACAGGGGGTGAGAAAGTTCAAGTCGGATAAGGTAGTACTAGATAGACTACATAGTAAACCAGAAATGGTGACGGAAAATGAAAGCCGATAAGCATACCCCAACATAAGTCGGATAACAAGGTAATGACATAAAAACGGACAACTCTCTCTTATTGGAAGAGATAACAGAGAAATTAAGTAAGATAGTGAATAATAATATTGAATCAGAAATAGAGTAGCTAAGACAGGGCTCTAAAGTTTAGGCTGGATGATGATGATCTGGCAAAGAATAAAAAGGATGGACGGTGACCAATGCATGGGCTGCCGAGGCCGGCGTCCTGGCAGATTACCTATTTGAGCTGCCTTGTCCCAGTTGGGTTGAATTCCGTGGGGAGACGAGGGAGAAATTTAGGGCAGATGGAAATAATTTCTCCTAGAGTCTTCATCTTATCTAGAATACCATGGAATGACTAGTACTCTACTACTAGGTAGAAGCACTACTATAGTGGAAAGAAAATTGGAGGAAGAAAGAGTATAATGAAAATACCAAAGATAAAGTAGTACTGTGTAGATAAATTTGGGAAAGTACAGCGACCTGTGCCTTCCTAATCATCCAATAGTAGAAATCCTCCCCGCTTCCCCCAGTAGTTCCATTAATTCCACCCCATTGCATCTCCCGGTTTCTCGTACGAGACTGTCTATTATGGAGTGGAAAAATGGAGACCTAACTGTTAGTCCATAACCATTCAGAAAGAAAGGGGGGAGGGTAAAAGGAAAAGTGATCCACCTTCTGGGAAGGTCATCAGATCTGGACTGCCCCACTTGAGCCGAGACCCTGAGCATTATCCATTCAACAAAACAATACTAGTACTCAGTAATCCGCGGAGTACTTACTGACCGTAGTTATTTTACTGTATGGAGTAGTAATACTTCATCCCCATCCCAAGAGACTGCAGCACAAAAGTTGATTATTAAGACAAGGACCCGCTGGTCACGCGCACGTCAAAGTTCTTCCTCTCGACGCGTCAACCGGAGATCAACCGGCCAGTCGGGATTCTGGAAAGCCGCTATGAAGCCTATCATTACTCCGTACCTGAGTTTCGGACTTTGTGCTCCGGACATCCAGACGATGCTAGGGATGAGAATACATTTAGGCGTTATGGGCCCTGCTTTAACGCCGAGCGAGTCTCTACAGCAGTCCGTTACATGGAACATATCTATTTACATTATCCACAGTCCCAACTTCACAATAGATGGATGGCGAAGTTCCTTGAAAGTATCTTTTCAAGTAACCAGTAGTAAGTATTATCTAGATGTATAGTAGGCGGTGACCTGCTCATGCTTTCTCCGCATAGATGCTGGCGATCCACTGCCAACACAAGCAACAAAATACATGTCATGCCATCCCCTCCTTTGCAGTACTATGGCCTGACCCAAGCTACCCCAGACGTCATCCTATAAACCCCCAGAGTCACCTTAAGATTTTTACCTTTCATACTTTCATACTAATTGATCACGCGGAGCTTGAAAGTAAGATGTGGTAAAATTGGCGAAACCTTCCTAGCCTTGCAGCTGCACACCGTACATGCCGAAGTATGTTTATGGGGGCCTATTCCATTGTACAGGCTAATTCAGATATACGTGTCTCACAAGAATTTTACTATATCTGCCTATCACCTCGCAGTCAAACTTCCTCCCCTGCAAACCCTACTTATTCCAGGTCCATCTTGGCGGCTTGGCTCTCGCCGAATCCATGTTGCCCATCCCTCTGCCAAGCCTGGTGTTGCACAAGATTCCTGGCGATGGACAGACAGAGAGTAGGTAGACTTCGGCATAGTACATATCAATCTAGTACATAATTGTACTATACAGTCAGTAGTGGACTCTTGGCGGTCAGTTGAGCTCACTTGCTACCATCTTGTCGATCACTGCAGCACACAGTACTAGTACTCACTCACTAGCTGATCTGTACTTCCCTTATAAGCCCAAAAAGAAACTCTTGCAATCACGTAAAGAGGCAGGTAAGCAGCCACCGTGCATGTGCCTTGACCTTGATAACATTTCACTAAGACCTCACCCTCCCCAGATCGGTCTTGAAGAAACATGGCGCTGCAGTCTCCCCAATAAAAGCTTCCTTTCCATACAGCATACGTCATACAAGCATCCGGGGGAAGGGGAGGCGATTGTGGCACATCTCCCCGGGTTAGGCAAGATATTGGGCATGAATAAGATTTATGACACGATCATCGAAGCATCATGTAGTTCATCCCTTCATCCGCCAGTAGACAATGCCAGACTTAAGACCAAACAGATATGGTAATCACGCAGTAAGTATTGCCCAAGACTTACTGCAAAGTAGGCCATGCCTGACTATTTGAAGTAGATGACGAGATGATCATCTGCTGAGCGACCAATGAAAGACGCACTTCATTGATTTGCTACGCCTTACCCTTCCGGACTCTTAATGATGGGCCGTATGTCAACCAATTATTCAGTCACAAGGGTGTACTTATGCCTAGCAGTACAGCCAGATCCGAGACTTATTCTTCGCGTGCACCCGACCGCTAACAAACCCCCGACTACGATACTGTATGCGCACAGGGAGGCCCATCTTAGACCTCAACGTCACACACAAACATACCCGTTCTTCAACAGGGACAGTGGGAAGAATTATGTGTGGGTGTTATGATTGGAATACATATGTGGCGATGTTGCCGAGGCGGCCATCAGAGAACATCGAAAATAAATGCCAATAGTTCTTGCTGTAGTAATCTGGTACTATTCACACGCCAACCCTTCTTTACTTGAAAAGCTTGGAGACTGCGACTTCTTTGTCGTCGTGCTTGTTGAGGATCTTGGCGGTGGCTAGGTCGAAATCCTCCTGAGTAACATGTACTCGCCGCTCTCGCAGAGCGTACATGCCTGCTTCCGTGCACACACCCTTCAGTTCAGCTCCAGAACATCCGTTCATCTTCTCCGCAATCTTCGTTAGGTTGATGCCTCGCGTCAAGTTCATCGACCGCGAGTGGATTCGCAAAATATCGGCACGTGCTTCCACCCTGTAAGACGGAAATCGATTAGCAAAACGTAACATAATCTTCACCTGACAAGAGCCAAGTCACAAGGAATACTCACGACGGCGGGGGGAACTCAATCTTCCGGTCAATCCGGCCAGGACGTAACAAGGCCGGGTCCAGGATGTCAAGCCGGTTGGTGGCCATGATGATCTTGATGTTCTTGGTAGGCTCAAATCCGTCCAATTGATTGAGAAGCTCAAGCATCGTCCGCTGTACCTCTGAATCACCCGAACCCGCCGAGTCTATGCGGCTGGATCCAATGCTGTCGATCTCATCCATGAATATGATACTGGGAGCATGCTCTCGAGCCATTACGAATAGCTCGCGAACCATGCGGCTACCTTCACCGATGTATTTTTGCACCAATTCCGATCCGCTCACTCTGATAAACCGACAATCGGTGTGATGGGCTACCGCTCGGGCAAGCAGGGTTTTGCCGGTTCCTGGAGGTCCGTAGAGAAGTACTCCCTTTGGCTGTGCGATACCAAGCGACTCGAACAACTCCGGATGTTTTAAGCCAAGCTCGATGACTTCCTTGATTTCCTTGATCTGCTGGTCGAGTCCACCAATCATGTCATACGTGCTGTCAGGCACCTTCTCGACCATCATTAGCGACACCAGCGGGTCAACCGACGAGGGTAGCATCTTCTCCAACTTGTAGGAATCCGAGAGTAAAGCGACCCTCTTTCCTACAGTGAGCTTGCTGATATCAACGCCATCCGCAATGTCCACCACTATAGCGTCGCCAAGAGAGGTTAGTAAGAGACGCACGGAGTTGAGCGAGCAAAGACTCGAGCTGAGCAAGTTTGCAGAGGGTGTTTACCATATTTGCCCTCGGGATGCACTTTGACGAGGACTTTCTTGGTGCTCATCACTTTGACTACCTCCCCGACATAGGATCCAGGCTGTTGAAGCAGGCCGAGCTCTTCCCGAAGTAACCGCACCCTCGAATTATAGTCATTGCGCTGTGCTTCCAGTCTCCGTAAGACAGCCTGACCCTGAATGATTTCGAGCTTCATGCTCTCAATCTTGTTGCGATAATAGTTGTCGAGCGCCATGATGGACAGCCAGGTATGACGCTCCTAGATACGGCCACAGCGAGGCGTGAATCACAAAGAACTGGACGTCGGCGATCTATTTGACTTGGGGGCAATCTTAGGAACCAAAAGAGTCCTTTTTGAATCGGATCAGAGAAATCGGAAGAAAACAGTCGAACTGTGAGACACAGTGAAGGTGATGAAAGGCGTGGTTATGGTAGCTGGGTCGAGAGAGCTCTTGCGGGATAGGTACCGCAGTTAGCTGTTAGTTTAGGTGAGGTAACCCGAAGTAGGCTACTAGCTGATATCAGCAGAGCGCTTCGGACAGACACCAGCCACAAGGGCTGAGGCTAGTGCAACAGGTCATGTGATGTAATACTCTATGGTTACCTACTTAGTACTAAGAGTGGGTAAGCCACCCAACCAGGACTGTTAGAATAATATGACACCATTCCAAACACACATGTTAACAACAGTCACGCTGGAGTTAGGCCCATCATACAGTCAAGAATAGCGGCACAACAGCGTGAAAGCAAAGCAATAGAATGGGGTCTTTCAGGCAGATATGATGGGATCCCATGTTTCGTATGGTGAATGTATGTACTGTACGTAACGAGGGGGGTACACGCATTACGTAGCTGGTCAGCGCTGTGGTACGCAGTAGATACACATCCACATGTTCTCCAGTCAAATGTTGATCAGCTTCAACCCACAGCCTACCCAGGTCAATCTCTCGGCATCCAACTCGAATACTATTGCTGGACTCGTCTTTGAAATTGTGCAATCCTTCTTGGTCGCGTCTGTGACCTGCATATCTACGGTCTCAGCTGACTGCGGGGATGCGAGTGAGACCTTATCTCATGATCTCACTAACTAGCTAGCTGCTTTTCTCATTTCGCGCCTGCTTCTCTACCCTCTCGCTTTCTGTCCGTCCCGGATTGTTTTTTTTTCCTTGGGCTTACTCCAACATGTAACTTAGTTGCTTTTTGGTTCATGTTAAAAGAAAGATATCTCCGTTTCTGTTTCAAGTGCAGGCCACTCTCTTTTACTAGTGTTTCTCGAACTATCCTTTTCCTGGCATCCCCCAGCCTCCCTGTTTTTCCAAGATCATCACAAAGACGGTCAAAGGGGGCTGGTAAAAAAAAAAAAAAAGTTGCTAAGAAAATCGAGTCTCGAAACAAACTGACCAACCATGTCAAACAACGACGAAAGGGAGGGTCAGGGTCCTTCTCATCCCATCGATCCCGCCGACTCATCGTCAAACGTCGATAACGAGGATATGTCATCTGGAGCTTACCGTCAGCAGAGGAATGCGACACCTTCCAGGCGGAATTATGGTGCGCTCTCTCGCTTCTTTGCCCCGTTTTGATCCAAAAGACTAATTTCTCCTGTAGGGACCTTGGATTCCCCCGCAAGGATGGACCTTGATCCCCGTCTGGAAGAGAACCAGCCAGAAAGCTCGAGTCGCATGCCTACCTCTCAGTCGACTTCCACCCCACCGCTGCAGCCCGACAGACCGAGAAAACCATCTGTAACCCGCCGTATGTCTTCTAAGCGACAGGTACCTCACAAGGGGCAGGAATTTTCTACGGAGGATGATGTACAAGAAGTAGAGGAGGATATAGCTCTGCAACACGCGTCCAATCCCCAGTCATCGCCTAGGATACGTCCCTTGAGAAAACAGAGCTCGACTCTGCGACGACGACTCAATGCCCGCATGAACAGCCCATTGATTCAACCGGAAACCGAAAACGAGAGCGAAGAAGTGATTGGCCTGCCCGATCCGGGTACGGAATTAGAGCCTTCGGCTGAACAGTCGGAGAGTGGGAGCCCTGATAGTAACGATAACAATGATGAAGATGAAGCAGAGACTAGTGATGCCGAAAGCTTCACGCTGAAGGATCGCCAGCAGGCCATCAACGAGACTCACCCTTTTGGGATAAGGCTCTGGAAACCTGCCTTGTACAAAAAGAGCCGTTCGGTAGAAAAGACCGCCGAAGGCGATATCCATTCGTCGCCTGGCGGTCGCGTGGGCAACTTGTTGTTCTTGACTAACCTTCTGTGGACAGTATTTTTTGGTTGGTGGTTAGCCCTGGCTGCGCTTACAGGTGCTGTCGCTTGTTTCGTCTTCGCATATTCACCCAGCGCACTAGAATATGGGAGGGTCTTCTCGGGACTTTCGTGGTACTTGATATATCCATTTGGCTCCTTCGTCCGTCTGGACACGGACGAAAATTACGCAGAAGAAGACGAGGGTGAAGGCCGCAGCATTAGTGAGTACGAACAATGGCAGAATGGCGACTTAGAGCATGGCCGGCTGTTCTTCGGACCTCGACGCGATCGGTCACTGGTCGGGAGAAGAAGAAACAGTGTCGACTCGGCCAGCGAACAAGATAGTCTTCTAGGGCGAACGCAAAGGGGCAGCCCTCGAGAGAGTCCCCTTAGCCATCCTAAGCGGCGCCTATTCGGTCGTGGCGAGTGGACGCTTGGCCGCGTCGTATTCTTCGTCTTTTTCTACTTCCTCGTAGGGCCTCTAATGCTTCTAGTCTCGCTACTATGCTGGTTATTGGTCTTCTGGATTCCCATGGGACGTGTGACCATTATCCTTTTTGATCACCTTCGTCGTCACCCCTTGGCTCTGTCGTACCATTCCGACACCACCTACACCAGACTCAGTCCCGGGTCCTCCTCATCCGTCCTGTTATGCACCTATCGTGCAGCAGGATTGAGATATTGGAAGTATACTGTCGGCGGGACCAACATTTTTCTGATCAACCTTCTTGGTGTCGTATTATTTGTCATTTTTGACTACTTTCTTCTCAGCGAGACACTGGGCCTCCAATCTGCCATCACGCACCCAGGTCTTATATTCACCCTTGCGCTTGTCTCCATCATTCCCTTGGCCTATTTTATTGGACAGGCCGTTGCATCGATTTCCGCTCAATCCTCCATGGGCATGGGTGCAGCTGTGAATGCCTTCTTCTCGACCGTAGTTGAAGTCTATCTTTACTGTGTTGCTTTAACCGAAGGCAAAGGGCAACTTGTTGAGGGCAGCATTATCGGTAGCATCTTTGCAGGTATCCTATTTCTTCCAGGACTTTCCATGTGCTTTGGCGCTATCAAGCGCAAGACCCAGCGGTTCAATGTGAAGTCTGCGGGCGTCACGTCGACAATGCTGATGTTTGCGGTTATTGCTGCATTCGGACCCACGCTCTTTTACCAGATATATGGCAGCGTAAGTGTCACTGCCTGCTGTGTGATTGTCCATCTAGCAATTTCGCTGACAACCTGTTTTTAGCATGAGCTCAACTGCCGCTTATGCGTTACCACTGTAGGAACAGAGGACAGCGATTGTCGTCGCTGTTACTTTTCGCAGACGCCGGCCGTGAATGACAGCTTTTTCCGGAAGGCCGTCCAGCCATATTCGTGGTTTGCTGCTATATTCTTGTTCCTATCCTATGTCATCGGGTTATGGTTCACGCTGAGGACCCATGCTGCTCTCATCTGGGCGACAGAAGTAGAGGAGAAGAAGGCTGTAGCTCTCGCAAACGAACAAGCCGCCTACGAAGCTAGACACGGCGATTTCCCTCACATTCAGGCTGGGAGCACTGGTGGTTCCATCACCAAGGGCTCGGTTCGGGATTCTCAACTGTACAAGCGCATACTGGGGCAGTCTTTAAAGCAGGTCGGACTATCTGAAAACCCCAATGATCATAACGCCCAATCCGACTCTACCTCCTCTTTGCAAGGAAAGAGCACAACACCATACCTTGTGCCCCCTCGGACGGAGGGCGACGATAGCAACCCCAGGCTGAGAAATTTCACTGGTCTGTCCAATGAAGACAATGAGGATCTTGTGCGCCAGGTGACAGAGGTTGCCGCAACGGCTGCTGCTGTTGCCGCTCGCGATGCAGCCCGAACAAGGAAGCCCCTGGCCCAGCAAGCAAGCACGCGTCAAGCGGCTAAAAGTCCCGCTGATCAAGTGAAGACCTTGCTTGAGGAAAGCGAGGATATCGGGTTGGAGCCTGGCCATACTAGCGGCGGTCATGATGCACCCAACTGGAGTAAAACGAGAAGTTCTATAATACTTCTGGGTGCTACTATTCTTTATGCTGTCATCGCAGAAATCCTCGTGAACACGGTGGACGTGGTCTTGGAAAGTGTCGACATCGATGAAAAGTTCCTTGGAATCACGCTCTTTGCCTTGGTCCCCAACACAACAGAGTTTCTGGTATGTAATCCTCAATAACCGCCGCCAGCAAGATCAGGTTGACTTATTCATCTGGCCTACAGAACGCTATTTCGTTTGCTATGAACGGCAATATCGCGCTGTCCATGGAGATTGGTTCAGCCTACGCTCTCCAGGTCTGCCTTCTGCAGATTCCTGCTTTAGTTCTGTTCAGTGCTCTCTACGCCCGCGTCATCGATCCTTCTGAGCTACTAAGCCACACCTTCAAGTATGTTTGATCTTGCCGTACTTTTTGTCCCTTAGAGGCAATGTGTGAAGCAAGAAACCTTGCTAACAACCTTTCCTTTACAGCCTTATCTTCCCGCAGTGGGACATGGTGTCCGTAATCCTTTGTGTCTTTTTGCTCTCCTACGTGCACGGCGAAGGAAAGAGCAACTATTTTAAGGGCTCTATCCTCGTTCTTACGTACCTCGTGGTTGTGATTGGATTCTATCTCTCTGGCTACAGCAACTTGGAGACCATGGGTGTCGATCGTTTCGATACGCTGGCCCTTGGTTCGAGTCCAGTCGAGAAGTATTACACGATCGGTAGGTCCAGGAGTGGAAGGGCTTTTTGAGTGTAGATTAATTTGTGTGTCTGCCTGTCAAATCCTTGGTGAGGGCTGGAAGCCCGTCCGCCCGAGGGTTGAGGCAGACACTTTCGCTGCAGATTATGCGTGCATTGCCTCCCGTGTTTTAGAGTCTGACAAGATTGCCCGAAATTGTTTAACATTTGCGTGTTGGTTGGGGCTTTTCGAACATGTATATCTGCCACATTATTGAAGTTGTATAATTAGACTTTCATAATCGGTTACTCATGGTCTGCTTGCATGTCTTGCGTAATATTCTATGGTAGATGCGTGTAACAAGTACGGCTATCTTTGCACGCTAGCTAATAACATTGCCCGCAAGTTTTGTCATGATCTCTCTGCATCCTTCAGTAAAAGAAGAGGGACTGTAATTTTCCGCAACGCGAAAGAAAAATGGTGAGTGGATAAAGTAGGTTAGGACTTCCAGGAGGCGACGGCTTGGTCTACGAGAGCTCGGTACTCCTGCTGCTTGTAACATTGCTCCAGGAAGACCTTGTATTTGGCGTCAAGCAAGGCCTTCTCCGTCTTATCCGTAGTTGGGACGACTTTCTTTCCCGGTTTGCTCATGCGGTCCATGATAGACCACAGATCTTCTGTCTTGCCTTCTGCGTCAGCACTAGCGGCTTTGGCACCCAGCATGGCTGCACCATGGCAAACAGCAGCATGAATATAGCGAGGTATAAGCACAGGCATGTCACAGGCAGATGCTATCAGTTTTACCAAGATGTCATTTTGGCACTGAGAGCCCGACATGAAAATGGAGGCGAGGCTATGACCTGCTTTGTTCATTGTCTCCACAATTTGCCTGGTTTGTAGCGCGATAAATTCGAGCGTGGCATAGTAATGAATGGCGAGGCCATCCACAGACTTGTCACTCGTCATCCCAATCAGAGAACCTGTCATTGCAGAGTCTGCAATGGGGGAACGGTTGCCCCAAAGATCGCCATAGAAGAAAACGTGTCGGCCTAGATAAGAGATACTAGGAGCCTTCTGGTCATGAACCATTTCTCTAAGATGCTCGTTCAGATACTCATAGATATTGGCGTTGTACGACTCGGCGATCGAGAGTGCCTGATTGAACGCGGGGTGGGTCTCGATAACATGCTTGAGCAGCTCCCCGGTTGCGGACTGGCCACCCTCAGCCATCCAATATCCAGGTTGAATAGTATCGCGGTAAGGCCCCCAGACACCAGGAACAAAGACTGGATCAGGGGACATCGCAAGATGGCAGGTCGATGTTCCAGCGACGGCGGCCAATCGAGAGAATGCCTGCGCTTTATCGTTCTTGGCGACGTCAGAGCTCAGCTGTTCCGACTCGAGATCAACCTTAGCGCCGACGGTGCCAATCCAACCTGCATAGGCATCGATGACGCCGCTGCCGATTGCAATCCCCGGGGGCAGACCCAGCTCTGAGGCAGCTCTGTCACACAATGTGCCAACCAATTCACCAGCGCTAAGATAGTTGCCATTCTGAAGCATCAGTTAGCCGTCAAACTCATTGGCAGGTAGGATGTGGATGAAGGGTAAGACGTGTGGTTGATAGGATCATCAAAGAAAAAGGCTCACCACCCCGTCGACACCGCCCATTCGCTTAAAGTCGTCCTCTGACAGGTCCTTCAGACCAATCTCCTCCAAAAAGTCTTCCTGCCAACCTTTTACGCTCCCGTCCACCCCGACGGGAACATATCCCTGCTTGCAGACTACACTACAGAAGCTTCTCTGCTCGGCGCCGGTGGCAATGTAAGTCAGGGCATCAGCCAGGTCAAAGAATTTGCACTGGTCAAAGAGCTCTTTTGGCATATGGTTTTTCAGCCACAGAACTTTGGGGATCTCCATCTCGATGGACATCTTTCCGCCCACATAGCGGAGCAGATTGTGGTTCGTGGCATTGATTCTTTCGGTTTCCTCCACTGGGCGATGGTCGAGCCAGAGGATCACATTGCGGTCCGAGTTGAAGTTGGGACCCGTCACGGATATCGGTTCGTTCGTCACATTAGAAAAAACCGACAACGAGCATGTCGCATCGAACCCAATGCCCCTCACGGTCTCTGGGTCAATGTTGTGCTGGCTGATTGCGCGCTGAACAGCTACACAGATGCATCGCCAGATATCGTTCGTAGATTGTTCCTGGATGACAGGAGGGTCAATCGGAGGCCACACATACCCTTACGATAGTGACCAGGCAAGAGAAAGTTTGGGCACCAATACGTACATAATATCCTTGTTGAGGTTGCCAAAGACCGATGTTCTCGGAGGCTAGGCCGACAATATCGCCTTTGCTATCGATTATACAAGCGCGGGCACTGCCAGTCCCGACATCAATTCCAATATAGTGGTCTACGCGGACCTGTATCTCATCCCGCGTATCTATCGACGCCTGCCTAGAACCCTGCCGAGAGGGTCGTCGATAAGGCATTTGGGGTATAGAGGCCATGGAGCTGGGATGGAAACGGCGAGAGACACTGAGATCGAGCGGGAAAGGTCTATATCTGAACGATAATGGAGCATGAAAATGAGCACGGCAGCTGTGGAGAGACAGGCAATAGAAAATAACTGGAAGGGAGGGGGTGAGGGGGGGAGGATTCTGTGCGATTGATGGGTAAATACTGCAGCCAATTGATTGCTTGGGGTGACACAGACTTAGACACTTACACCTGATTGACTTTGTTAGGCACCTTCGGGATGAAGGAAATGGGTTAATTGGAAGATTATGAGAACAGAAGGGGACAAGCAGCAATCAGAAGAGGAAAGAATAGTCGATTGGGTGCACTGGTTCGAACTCCATGAATTTACTTATCATCCGGTAGAGATTATTCTGGGAGCTCCCCCCACCTTCATAAAAGTACCTGAGGAGTATGATTGAACTATGTACTTATGACCGACCCACTTTCCTCCTCTTCCAGTTTACTATTTTCCTGCGGGGATGGGAGGTAAAAAAACCATTTGTGAATAGCTGCCAGTGGATATACCTACAGTATTCAAAGTGAAAAGAAATATTAAACAATAGGACGCTCGATTTGTACTTATATATAAATATTATTTTGTTTATGATGGAGAGTATGCGGGGAACTCAAATCAAATCAGTACGTAGTAGTAATTTAGCGGGTAACTCTCCGCGCTAGTCAAACATTCCACCGCTCGCTGCCCTCCGGAGCTTGGATAATCTAGATGCAGTAAAGCTAAGCTGGTTCCAAACCTTCCCGCCATTCGACTTTCGGTTTTCTTCTTCTTGTCTCATACAACGTCCTCCCCTCCAAACTTAAAGCCTCGCCTCAATCAAGCAACTGTTTATCTGCAGCTCAGACACTATGCGGTCATCCTACTTCAATTTCCTGCCTGCGCTCTCCCTATTTTCCCTCTCCGCGGCCATCTCCTCATCCTCTCAACCACAGTCAGCCGAGATCCTATGCTGGCCTGTAGCTTCTCCCGAACCGTCCGTCCTGGCTCACGTCTCCTACGATTCGACCACCTTGCAACCGGAGTTCACCTTTTCATCAACGAATATCGCCGCAGCGTGCGGTGACAACGAACCGCAGGATGTATCCAATGACATGATCCGCCTGGGCTTGTACACCTCTACGTCTACCAACACCAAACAATGGGTAGGGACCCTCGCCTCACGGTCCTCCCTTATAGGGAGTGAGAACGACAGGCCAACAATTCGGCTTCACGTCGGCCCATCCAACAATATCTACTACGTTGACTTGCTGCCGTCCACCTCATCAACTTCTTCTCCTTCTACGCCAGTAAGCCCAAAGCTGGAGCTGTTGTCTAGTCAAGCGGGTCCACGCCCACATCTCAATCAGCCTATTGTGCTTGGTCCGGATGGCAAGAATGCGGAGGAAGTCGTCGAGAAAACCATCTTCCAAAAGTAGGTCATCCCACTGACTATCGCTTTCCGCCCCCACCACCTCTTGAGTCGTCCAGGCTGAATGGTCTAACATGTATCTAGATACTGGTGGGTTTTCCTCATTGTCACCTTCTTGGCTATGTCTGGCGGTGGGGAAAGCCAGTAGATTCTTGACATAATCATTTCGTAGATCAACTGTTCTCCCTTAGACATGGTATACTAGTGTTACTTGGCTAGGTTTGTTGCTGGGTGCAAAACCCCCCAAGACTTATTTTAATTATGAGCAAAATCAATGTGGTCGTCCCAGCCGGTTATGCGTCCCCTCTAGAACGTCTTCAGTTCAGCTCATATGCCACATTCATATTCCAGTTTCGCCAGATGCTCGGTGGGCTCTGGCATGAAAGGGAAAAAATAACCATGCTGAAACGTGCGAGCGTGTCCGGCATCAGCTATGCGCAAATAGATGATGTGGTGTTACCATACATCTCCCTTTGAAAACGGGAATTAGCACTGGTATTATTCGCCTCCCAGAATGGAGGATCAGAAGAGGTAGGCCAGATGATGTCTTGACATGGTAACTTGTAGCATGCGCCCACTCTCACCGGAATCGGAGCTTCATGTCTATATTATGATAAAGTGCAATGGATCCGTGTTATAATTAATTAGTTCAGACTAGGGGATGGAACATGTTTACTCAAATTATCGTCCCATCTTTGTACTTCGCAGTTGATGTACTGCTTACTGTTAATCCCAATCTCTAATTGTCACGATCAAATATGCAATCAGTGACCGATGATTTAGAAGGAGTGTTAGCAAAAAAAATTCTGCAACTTCTGATCACTTGAATATAAACTTTGCCCAGAAGCTCTTAAGAACCCGGTGCACTTTCCATGCCCAATTGATAGATTGTTCTGTGACTACCCCCGGACGGGTCGAGATCACAGTATACCAGACCTCTGTCTGTAATGGCTACCAGGTCATTTTCACCTAAACCAAAGCGTAGCTGAAAGCATACAGCATCAAGTGAGAGGGCTATAGGCTGCAAATCAATCGCCTCAGAGCCTGGTGGCCAAGATGAGACCGGGTAAAATCCGGTTGCATTATGTTCAATCAACGCGCCTGGCTCCAGCGCCCAGATATAAATTGTTTTCCAGTTCGCAACAGCTATGCGAGTTCCCAACCTGGAAGCTGCAACTATGCAACCAAGTGAGGTATTCGAGTTCTCAAAGCCACGAAGACGAGCCACGATCGTCCAGTCCGGTAACCGCCGTCCGCGCTCAAGATGTAATTCATGCTCGCAGTTACTGGCTCGACAAACAGCCTCAGAGGTCAGGAGGCACGCGACAGTCCAGTCCTCTTCACGATGTGTGGCTATTCCAAAAGAAAGGTATTTCCAGTGGCATCTTGAGAGACCATTCTGCACCCGGGTTTCATGTGTACCAAAAAATGGTATTCCAATGCCGAACAACAGCGTCAAATAATCTGAAAATTGCACGGGGCATGAGTTTTCATACAGTACAGACTGAGTTGGAAAAGGCAAGAGATCGATCTTCTGGAATGAACCGTACAAGGCTTGTGCACGGTACCGATATAGCAATTGACTAGATCTGTCATTGAACGCAAGTCCCACCACGGGCCCTTTTCCGACAAGACAGTTCCGAGTGTTTCTAGATTGGGCGAACCTATCTCCTTCATTCTGCTCTCTCGTCCTTTCCAGAAGGACGCAAGAATCGTAACTAATATCTGAGGTTGCGTCAGCATAATCAGGCAGGTCTGGCGAAAGTTTCATGTTAATTGAGAAAGAGAAAAACGAACCGATGACACCCGACTTTGCACTGCTATGCGGATTAGTTGAAGCCGTGTATAACACGACTTCATTCTCGCTACAATCGTAATTGTGCTGCCACGAAATAGCAAAGCTGCCGCCTGGCATAGCTGCAAGTGCCAGAGGCTTGTAATTTGCATGATCTGGGAAAGCACACACTCGAACGGGCTCGCCAGGCGAGTCAAGGGAGTGACATGAGAGGTAGTTCATTCCGTTAATGTTAGACTGCATTGCTTGCTTGATAAATGGGTGATTTGCGTTTGTATCAGTCACGTCCATGGCAGGCACGAACCGCTGAAGGACGTAGAGCCCGCCATCTCCATCAAACGCCGTCTGGAGGACTTCGCATATCCCAGGGCGGTCACAAGGGAGATTGATCTCTCTGAGGGGTCGGAGCTGGCCATGTTCAATGCGAGAAAGATAGACCTTCTCCCGGCCGCGCGCGACAAGAGCAAGGGTTTGGTGATCGAAACTTGAAAAGGTGGATGCTTTGACATCGAGAACATCGTTCCCAAAGTCATAAATTACACGATCTGCATGATATTGCGCACCATATAATTGCTGGAAGGCATTCTTTGTCAACAAGCGAAAGAGTTGTTTTGAGCTGAGGGAGCGTAGGTCTCGATTGACAATGCCCGGTGTTCGCCGTAGGTGATGCAGAAGAACCTCTCGGCAAGTGGAAGCGATCTCATGAATAATGCGACAGGAGAAAGCTGCCTCTAAGAAAGCAGGTGTGTTGCAGTTCTGAAGAACCAGTTGAATAATTTCAGGTGGGAGGTTTAGGATCATGACACTAGATTCAGACTAATTCTTTGAGGCTGAATGTCAAATGAGGATTCGGAAAGGTCGCCCAAGTACTTCACTCAAGAGGGTTGAAATGAGATTGTACAACCTGGTGCGTAGTAATGTCTTACGTTCTAGCTCCAAAATAGAACCGGAAAGTATTGTGGATAGTCAGGGACGAGCTTTGCTTAGTATTTGCTTTGGGGGTTGCTCGCTTTCCTTATATGAGCAGAATCTCAGGCAGCCGCCGCCGCTGCCGTCGTTACCTGTTGTTGCCTGCCTGTCGAGACTCTCATAACTTTGCATTCAACCTTCTGGCTTCTACAATCAATTACCTTGCTGCGGTTTAACTAGAGACCTTGAATATGATGCGGCTCTGAAATGGCAGGATAGTATTTGCTAAATGTAAGGAAGTATTCTAGACACTTAATGTACTAGTGAAGAGCACACCCGCTATGTTGTCCGGATCCACCCGCTTTGACCGACCGATATATTATACACAGTCTCTCGGGCAAAGTGATCTACAGGGCTTATTTAAAAGCAGGAAAGTTGGAAGATTGTAACCGGTGATAGGAAATATTCAGTGTCTTCGCTATGCTGATATGTGCCTGATCATTCGAAGAAGACGGGGAAATGAGGGATGTACAGAGGGCCAAAACTTCATTGCTAAACCCTGTACGCATATGACATAACGAGAAATATATCCAAGCCGTCTACTATCACGACCATCCCCAGTGTCTAAACGTCTAACCGTAATGAAAGACCCCTCAGCAACCTCCTATATCTTGCTCTTTCCCCATCTGCGCAAGTGTCCATTCCAAGACGCTCTCATAACACAGAACAAACTGGCTCAAATTTTGCACCATGCTTGGCCTCTGCGTTCGAAAGTCGTCTACCGTTCTTTCGATGAGATCCACATTGTCGGTATGGGACCATTGGTTCATATTTCCACCCGAGGCATGCGCTGCACTGCGTT